GGACATGTGGCTTAGGAGATATTCCTTGTTTGTGACTACAGGAAAATGTACTCTTCCGTTGGTGTGTGTGTGTGTATGATTGTGTGGGTTTGGTGTGGTCAGGAGGGTGTATAACCATCACCCCCCTCTGACTTCAGAATGTTCTCATCACCTGGGAAGAAGCCATCCCATCAGCAGGTGCTCCCTCTCCTCCGCCCCTTGGCCCTGGTACCCTGCGTTACTTTCCGTCTCTATCAGTTTACCTGTTCAGGGCATTTTGTGCAACATGTGGTCTTTTGTGATGGGCCTGGTGGCTTCCAGGCTCACCTACATTGTAGCACGTGTCAGTACCTGGTTCCTTCCTGTGGCTGAGGACCTCTTGCGCTCGAGGACGGCTTGTTCTGTCTGCCTGCTCGCTGTGTCCCGCCAGGCGAGCCGTCCGCTTCCCGGCTTCCCCACATCCTGGCTGTCCTCACCCACACTTGTTTTTAGCTTTCTCTCTCTTTTTTTTTGGAAAAATTATTTTAATGGATGTAAAATGATATTTTATTGCCCTCTTGATTTGCATTTCCTGAATGAAATGACGTTGAGCGTCTTCTCATGGGTTTATTAAACATTTGTATACCTTCTTTGGAAAAAATGTCTATTCAGATCCATTTTCCAGTTTTTAGCTAGAATTTTGTCTTTTTATCATTGAGTTTAAGGATTCTTTCCATATTCCAGACACTACTCTGTAACTTTATTAGACACGTGATTTGCAAAACTATTCCACTTGTCTCTTTGTGCTTTCTCAACCATGTCCCAGGAAGTATGGAGGTTCCGTGTGTCCGTTTTTTCTTTTGATGCTGCTTTAGGTGTTGTTTATGAAAAGCTGTAATCTAATCCAAGGTTATAAAAATGTGCACCTGTGTTTCTTTTAAGAACTCTGTGGTTTTAGCTCTTGCATTTAGATATTTGTTCCATTTTTAAAAATTTTTTTAGGGGCTGTAGCTGTGGCTCAGTGGTAGAGTGCTTGCCTAGGGCGTGTGAGGCACTGGATTGATCCTCAGAACCACATAAAAATAAATAAGATGAAGGTATGCTGTCCATCTACAACCATAAACAATTTTTAAAAAAAAAAATTTTGTGGTTATAGAGGACACGATACCTTTATTTTTTTTAATTTATTTTTATATGGTGCTGAGGAGCGAACCCAGTGCCTCATATGCTAGGCAAGCACTCTACCACCGAGGTATAACCCCAGCCTATACTTGTTCCATTTTGAGTTCATTTTTGCATATGGGATAAGGGAAGAGTCAGACTGCAGGCTTTTGCTTGTGGCTGTCCTGTTTCCCAGCAGGGTTTGCTGGAGCCTGCTCACTCCCCTCTGCTGGAGATCAGCAGTGTCAGTGCACAGGTTTATGGGCTTATTCTGGACTCCAGTGGTGTGTCCAGGGACTGTGTCATGGTCCTGATCCCCAGCATTTCTTTTCAGATTGTGAGTCACAGGTGTGAGTGTGAGTCCTCCCACTTATTTTTTTTCTTCTTCAAGGTTGTTTTGGCTCCTCTGGCTCCTTGCATTTCAGTATGAATTTTAGGATCAGCCTGTCAATTTCTGCATGGAAACAAAAGGCAGCTGATGTTTTTATCGGGATTCATTGGATCTGAAGATGAATTTGGGGAGTATTGCCAGCTTAACAATGTAAGTCTGCCAATCCATGAACACAGACGACTTTCCATTTAATCATCTTCTTTGATTTATTTTAGTGATGTTTTCTAGTTTTCAGTGTATAACTTTATACTTATTTCATTAAATTTAGTCCAAGTGTTTTGATCTTCTTGATGCTGTGGTATATGGGATTATGTTTATGTTTTAAATTTCATTTTCAGTTTATTGCTGCCTTATCTAAATACAAGTGAGTTTTAAAAATACATCTTTATTGATATGCAATGTAAATACCATAAAATCCACCCTTTTGCTGTGTATCTGCAGGGCTGGGGTGTGGCTCAGTGGCAGGTAGGGCACATGCCTAGCGCTCGCAAGGCCCTGGGCGCCACTCACCAGGAAAGCCCCAGTCAGAGGTTCTCGGTGTGCAGACACCAGACTCACACCAATGACACAGGGGCCCAGCCTCTTGGCCATACATGGGCTCCTCAGTCCCTTTTTCTCTGCCTTGATTGTGTTTTTTCAATTTGGTAAAACACATATGACATAGAATTTTCCATCTTGACCATTTGTATGTGTGTAACATGATCATAGTGCATCTACAGCATCGCACGGCCACTACCACCGTCCACCTCCAGGATGTTTTCATCTTTGTGAACTGGAGCTGGGTCCCGCCCCTCCCCCACTCTTGGTGACCACGCTCCTATTCTTGTCTTCCTGGATTTGCCCATTCTGGGGATCTCCTGTGAGTCGAGTCCTACAGGATTCGTCCTCTGGTGCCTGGTTTCTTTGATTGGCGTGTATTCAGGGCTTGTCCATATGCGGCACAGTCAGAATCTCCTTCCTTCTAGAGGCCGGATAATTTTGTTGTGAGCATGTGTCACATTCTGTTCACCCATCCACCCAGGTGCTCACTTGGATGGTGCCCCTCCTGGCTTTGTGGATGATGGTACTGTGGGTGTTTGTGGAGTGCGTCTGTTGGAGCCCCACCTTCAGCGATTTGGGGTGAGGTCGACAGTGATGAGGGGGTATTGGGTGGAAACTGACAGTGAAGGCACCGTCCCCTTTCCTTCGTCACCTCGCAGGGCAAGGTCAGTGAGGCCCACACCCAGGCTGAAAGTCAGGGCCTTTGCCTCTGTGAAACTGGGCCAGCGGGAGGAAGGAGCCACAGATCATCAGGAGGGTCTGACAACACCCAGTTCCCTAATCAGCACCCAGCCCCACCCAAGACTGCCCCCTCCTCTGTGTTCCAGTGAATACTCACTCTGCCAGGACATAGCAAAAAAATGCATACCCATGCACCGCCATTCCACTGAAGGAACAGCCTGCGGAGCTCTGCAGCCTCTCCTGCCCCAGCCTCTCTCCATGCTGAAAGCCACAGTCCTGAAGGCTTTGGGGGCATCTCTGTGCCTCAGAAGGGTTTGACATCAGGAGGGTATGTCCTGAGTGAGACAGTGGGCAGTTCTTGTGTTTTCTCCAGGGTGTGTCTGGGTCCTGCAGTGTGCAGGATCTACTGGCATCATTGAGGGGCTGCAGCTGGCTCCCCTCTGCCTCTGAAATCCTGCCCACAGATCACAGTGGACTCACCAATGCAATTTTTGCTCACAGGCTTGAGCTCCTTCCCAGTTTTTCTCTGGAATATTCAATGCCATCTTGAAGGTTTCACTGTATCTACAGTCATACAGAGACAAAAGTTTCCGAGCTGGGCACAGGGATGACTGCCTGTAGTCCTAGGAACTTGGGAGGCCCAGGAAGAAGGACCACAAGTTCAAGACCAGCCTCAGCAACTTAACAGAACCCCCTCTCAAAATAAAAACTAAAAAGAACTGGGGAATGTAGCTTAGTGGTAGAGCACCCAGTATCTCAAAAAAAGAAAAAGAAAATAAAAAAGACAAGAATTTGGATGTGTCCACTGGGAAGGTCCAGTTTACCCCAGGTGAGTTTACTGGGCAGGTCCAGTTTTACTCAGGTATGTCCATTGGGAAAGTCCAGTTTTACTTAGGTGGTGCCAAATTACTCTTCCAGTGTGGTTGCACCCATTTATGCTCCCACAGGCAAGGAGAACGTTTTCTGTTTCCACCCATGACAGGCAGCCATTCAGGGTCTTCAACACAGCAGACAGCCCAGGACCCTCAGCATCTGTGGCAAGCTGCTGGCATGGGAAACAGGCCAAACAGACTGATTCCCCTAAACGGGAAAACAGACAATGCCGGGCACTGATGGCAAGTTTTAAAAATTGCAGTGAATGAACATTTATAGAGAGAGAGACGACACTGCGTCCAGGAAATAGCAGTCAGGGTAGGAAATTAAGAACCCAAAATGTCCAGGGTACAGTTGGAAGAAAAAGCTGAGGAAATTTCCCAGAAAGAGGGACATAGAGACGAGGAGACAAGTGGGATATGTCATCTTTAGGTTGCACGTAGGGTGGAGGCCGAGAGCTGGGAGCACCTGTACACACCCCTGAGCAGCAAATGGATGCACCTGGTCACATCTGCCAGGCAGGCAGCAAGGGATGTGATGGCAGGAATGGCTGAGTGCCCAGGGGCTGCATGTAGCCATGTGCAGCAACCTGGGTGACCCGGTCTTCAGAAGCTTACCCTGTCAGTCTGGAGACCCCAGTCTGAGTCCAGTGGGGCCCCTCTCCCTTCAGAAGCTCTGGGGAGGATTCCCACCCCTCTCAGCTCCTGGTGGCTCCAGGCAGTCTTGGATTGTGGCCATGTCCTCCAGTCTGTGGCTCTGTGTGGCCTCCTCCTCTCCACTGGGTACATGTGCCTCCTCCTTTTAACAGATAGGACACTTGTCATGGATGTAGGACCCACTAAATAATCCAGGATAATTGTTTGTTTTAAGATCCTTCACTAAATTCATCTGCAGAGCCCTTCTTTCTGAATAAAGTGCCACTCACAGGCTCCAGGCTTAGGGTGTGGACGTGTCTTTTGGAAGCCCTCCATCCAGTCCCCTGACCCCTAGAAGGTACAAAGGTGAGTTGGATCTTCCACAGAAGAAAGTCAGTCTGCCTTAAGCTGAGGATGCCAGACGGAGTGGCCTAAGCTTGTGAGTCAGTGCCATGTCAACCCCAGGAGACCCTGTGCAAGGAAGGGCTTGGGTGTGGTCGCCACAGACAGCAGCAGTTGAGTGACCAGAGCAGGACTGGGGTAGGGTCAAAGCCCTGTCCAGCCACTCGGCTTTTCAGTGGGGCATGGGGATCACATGACAGCATGTAAAGCTGATTTGCAGGAAGTGCCATGCATGGGCAGCCTGACCTCCGGAGTGGAGCCACAAGGACAGATTGTCACCTTGGCCTGCTGAAGTCGAGGCTCCGGGCACCTCACCAGGCCTCCATCTCCACACACCCTGCATTTCCTTCTTTGTGCAGCAGCCCCCCAGCTGGTTCCTGCTCCTCAGACAAGACCCTGCTGGAGGCAGCCCCTGTGGCCTCGCCTGTCACCCCCGTGGCCACGAGAGAGAAGATCCGGTCCAGGTTCCACGGCAGCCATGACCTGATCCACCGCCTGTTTGTCTGCATTTCAGGTGTGGAGTCTGGGCCTGGGGTGGGTCGAGGGCCCGCAGGCTGCCCTCTAGGGGAATGGAGACCCGGGCAGCCATCTCTCCCTGGCTTTGCTGTGTGGCAGTGTGGTCTGCTTCCCTGCAAGCCAGCGCTCCTTAGGAAGGGCTGATCTGCTCCTGGGAGAAGGAGGCCGAAGGAGCTCTGTGGGTGAGGACCAGAGCCCTTGCCTCTAGGAGTGCTGGGGGTGATGGGTGGGGTGGGGCAGAACAGAGGGCCATGGGCACCTCCTCTGGGTGGGTCCACCCTGGGCTCCCCAGCCACGTGGAGCCTGTACTATAGCCCTGCAGTCAGGGTTATTTTGGACAGTGTGGTCAGGGATCTGGGGGTTGGGCCCACCTGGGAGTGGGCAGGCTATAAGTGGAGCCATCTGGATGCCCAAGTTGCTGTGACAGTGACAGGGGCCGAAGTGAGGCTAGGCATGATCGAGGCCCTGGTGAGCAGCTATAACAGCTTAGTGGTAGTGGCCGTAACCTTGGATAAAGCTGGTAGCAGACTGGCCTGCAGTGGGCTGTGCAGAAAGTCCCATCATACATACATCAAGAGAATCCTTTCCCAAGGGGCTGGGAAATGCTGTTCCCTCAGCTCAGGCCAGGTCCTGCCCAGTGCACAGATCAGTCAGCCTAATTCATCCTTCCTTCCATCCCTCTGTCACACTGGTCAGGTGTGGCAGATCAGCTGCAGACCAACTATGCGAGCGACCTGAGAAGTATTCTCAAAACTCTGTTTGAGGTCATGGCCACCAAGCCAGAAACAGATGACAAGGAAAAGCTAAAGAAGGGTGAGTGCCACCCAGGACAGGTGCTGACTCCATGCCAACCCCTGTGTCCAGTGCCCCCAGGAACAGGGTTTGCAGAAAACCACACCTCCTCTTCCTGGGCAAATATGTGCCCTCCAAGGCAACCATGCATCCTAATATTTGCATGACCAGATACGCCAGGCTTTCTGCTGGGGGACCCAGGATGCATAGCCCAGGGAAGTGGTTCCCCTGCCACTTTGCAAGTGGGTCACCTGGCTTTGGTCCCCTTGTACACACTGCAGCAAGGTCGCCCAACTTTGTATTGCAGATAGGGGCTGGGGATACTCATCCTTTCCCCTAAAGACAAGACCAGATGACTAAGTGTTCCACAGTGTCACTTGTCAACGCATTCAGAAGACAGCCAGAGACAGGGGGAGGGGGCATGAGACCCCCTCCCCATGGGGAGCTGCAGAGTCTGCTGCTGGCTGTGATCTGACTCATATTTGCATACTCAGCATGTCACAGGCAACACGTGTGCTCTCGTAGTCACATTTAGTTAACACACTGCACACGTATGTGCATATAACAGGTATGTGGTGAGGGAAAGGGCATCATGTCAGGGACTGATTAGCATGGGGAGTTTGACCCTCTGTCCCTGAAGAGTCCTGAGTAGGAGTGGGGCTGGAGCCCTGCTGGCTTGCCCCTTGTACTGGGCTGAGACACCTGTTCTGGGGGAACTACCCTTACTACAGGGCTTCTGCTTGTGGGGTGTCTGGCAACAGGACGGCCCAGCTATTTCTGCAGCTCCCACCCAGCAGAGGTGTCCTTGCTAGTGAGGAGGAGCCTATGCCCACCCAGCTCTGTTCCCAAAAGCACACCCCCAGGCCATGTTCCATCAGGGAACTTGGCAGGGCTGCCTTCTGGAAATCAAGATTCAGAGGAGGCAGAAACAAACACTGCTCAGATAGGGACTGGGCTGCAGGACCCTGCTTGCCTCCATGATCACAGTTCAGGGGACCTGACCACGTGTGCAGGGGCCCCAGGGCTGGATGCTCCCAGGGAGCAGCTGACACGAGCCTCAGGGCACACCATGCTGTGCCATGCTGGGCAATAGGAAGCCCTCAACTAACTGGAAGACCTGCCAGGCCAGGCACCCTACCTGCTGAGGTGACTGGCCCTGTGTGCTGGGTTTGGGGGAGCTGGCCAGGGGTACCCAGCAGGGATAATCAATTGCATTGACTACACTACCCACCAAACCTCAGCAGCCTCAATTCTCTTCCAGTCACCCAGACCCTGCGGAGTGCGGCCTTAGAGGACTGTGCGTTGTGTCAGGAGACCCTGTCATCCTCAGAACTTGCAGCCAAGACCCGTGACGGGGACTTTGAAGGTGTGTGGGAACCTCTAGGCCAGGGGCCAACACGCTCATGCTGAGCAGCAGGTGCCTGCGCAGGATGCTTTCAGATGCAGAGCCCTGAAGGTGGCTCCCCTCCAGACAGACACCAGGCTTCCCAGTGTGCAGCTTCCCACAGGAGGCAGCCACTCTGCATGCTGTCCTTGGCTCCCAGGTGGGCACACAAGCCCCCTCATTACTAGTGACCTCAGGCCAGGTGTTCAATGTCTCTCAGCCTGGTGGGCACAGGTTCCAGGGTGTGGGAAGCAAGGAGGTGTCAGGTCAAGACTTAGCTCTGGCCGCAAGTGGCTGGCCAACACCTGACACCCCAGCTCCTCACCTGTACCTCAGGAGGTATCTGGCATGGCAGCTGGGGAAACTACAGGACACTATGGGGACTGTGGAGTCCCAGAAGCCTTCCCCAGTGGGGACAGCTGTAGACTGATCTGGTCACATCTGATCTGGGAGACCTGCTCCCTGCAGTCTCTCCATGGAGTTGGCTGCAGGCAGATGGCATGGTGTCATAGAAGGAAGAGCCAGGCATTCAGGGGACTCCCACACATTGCGGGAGGGGCACAAGATTTTGAGAAGGGCTGTTGGCAGGATGTGTCACAGTCCCTCGGGTGCTGGGGGCTTCCATGGTGCTGAGATGGATGAGGGCAGATAGACCTGACCGGGGTTACCAGAGGGGGCAGGGAGAGTTTGGGAGTGAGTGGGCCTTGGCCAAGGCACGGTCCTCCAGGTGGACCCCCTGTATATCCCAAGTGCAGGGGCCTATATCTGGGGGTGATTGCCAGCTCTGTCAATGGCAGTGAAGAGGGACCCCCATGTGAAATCATAGCCTGTCACTGAGTCTAGGGGTAACCAGTGAGGAGAGGGGCTGGAGGTGCCTGCCCACCTGCCAGGCTTCCACTCCAGCCCCAGCCCACCTGCATGCCAGGGCTGACGTGTCCCTGGCTCTCGTTGTAACAGACCCCCCTGAATGGGTGCCGGACGAGGCCTGCGGCTTCTGCACCGCGTGCAAAGCGCCCTTCACTGTCATCCGCAGGAAACACCACTGCCGCAGCTGCGGGAAGGTGGGTGGCCACGCTGGCCTGCAGCATCTGAGCCATCACAGGCACAGTGTCAGGGGCTGCAAGTCAGGACTGGTGTTCCTAGGCTCTGGGGTCCTTGTGCAGATGCCCCTGAGTCCTGAGCCCTGCTCTGACACCAGTGCCCATGTCCAGCCTTGGCCACTCAGAGCCGGGGACAGAGTAACCAAGCAGGAACCTGCTGTGGCCTTGTGTAGCACCTAGGCACCTCTCAGGAAGTGGGCCTCCTAGGCAAAGCCCTGCCCAGGGTTTTTCTGAAGGTCCTAGCTCCACGGGCCACAGGACCAGGACCAGGACCAGGACCAGGCAGACTCCCCTTCCATTGCCCTGCCTGGTTTGGGTGGGAGGGCTGTGTGGGGGCATGGGGGCTGGCCCTGCCCAGCACCCTGCAGCAGGTTCACTGGTTCCTACCCCTCCTTGACTTCCAGATCTTTTGTTCCCGCTGCTCTTCGCACTCGGCACCGCTGCCCCGCTATGGGCAGGTGAAGCCTGTCCGTGTGTGCACACACTGCTACATGTTCCACGTCACACCCTTCTACAGCGACAAAGCAGGCATGTGATGCAGCACCCAGGCACTCACCAACACACCCAGGGCCAGGACTCCCAGGAAGGAGGCGATGCGCCTGGCCCTGGTCTGTCCAGGCTGTGCTGCAGGAGGTCTCCTGCATCTCATTAAGACACTGCTGCTGCTGCAGACCCGCCCAGGTTTCCAGAATGTCCAGAGCCTCTGTCCCACCCACCCTGGCCTCCTTACCTGCAGGGACCCCAGGCCAGGTGCAGAACGTGATAGGAGGTCAGCTTTACCCACCAAGGGGATCCAGGGACCTAGGGGCTGCCTCTGAGGCAGGTGCCTGCTGGGGTCTCCACTGGAGCTCCTCCTCCAGCCGGACCTACCAGGCAGGAGAGTGGGCACTGTGAGGCCTTGTCTGCAGCAGAGACTCTGGAAGCAGGAACTAAGGGGCTCCACGGGCCCCAGCACCCTGTCAGGGCTCCTTGCGCCCACCTCATCCCCAGCACCCACTGCCCGTCTCAGGACCCTGCTATAAACAACACGCATCTCATTTCTTCTTGGAGGGGGAATGCAGGAGGAATACGTGCCCTGAACCTGCATATTGTCCACTGCCAGTGGAGTGGGGGCTGGCCAGGCACTGACACCCACAGACAGAGGTTGGTTTGGTTTGGGGACCTTGGCTCACCAGGCAGCCCAAGACCACCAAGGGCTGCCCACTTGGCCAACAGTGCCCCCTTTCCTCTGCACCCTCTGGGACCCTGGTCCACTTCCACAGATTCTAGAGCAGCTGGGACCCATGCTGAGACATCCAAGTGGCCCCAGTGCAGACACCTCCTCAGGCTTCAATCTCAGGCTTCACATTGCAATGACGATTGCAGTTTTATTTTTGGAGAGATGACACACCTACTGCTTCTTTTATAGGATGAAGTCCAATTACTGTTGAGCAGTGGAATACTCTTGCACAGAGATGGCTTCTGTAGGGGAGAATATATATTGGAGGGAATATTATGTATTGAGATTATTTTTATTTTCTAACAGCTGTAACTTGAAACCATTTCCATAAATCTATTTAAAGATTGCAGACGCTGTCCTGTCTTCTGTGAGCACCAACTCCTTTTCCTCTGTCTGGGCAGGGGTGGTATTTGTGCTGTCATGGATTCTCCTATAGGAAGCCAGGGCTTCTGCACTTTGGGACGATTGAAGGACTTGGCGTCCCATCAGCCTCCAGGAAAGGGGTCGCTGCTCACTCTCTGGAAGCCTGTCCCCTGCCCTGTGAGAGTGTCCTTTTCCACTGCTGCGCATCCTGCAGCTCCCCTTCTTATGTGAATCTTTGGCTGAGACCCCTGGCCTGTGCTTGGGGGCAGGGCTAGTGCTCTTGGCCCCTATACTAGGGGCTGATCTTATGGCCTTGGTCTCCAGCCTCACTACCTCATAGTCTGGGGACTGCTTTTGGGGTGCCATGAAGAGACTGTAGGAGTGCCAGCACAGCCTTGGATTACTCCAGTGATGTGGCTTCCTCTGTCCTTTGTGCCCTTGGAACTTGGGCAGAGTTGTGAGAGGCCACAATGGCCACCATATCCACTCTCCATAAGTCAGGAAGTTTTAGAACATGGGGCTCCCTCTGAGCAGGGCAAGCCCTTCAGGAGCAGAAGGGGCAGCTTGGGGGACCTCAGCATCTCTGGCCATCCAAGACCTGAACCCACCGTCCTGCTTACCTGGACAGAATGCAGAGAAATGGCCCCTCTATCACCCCTACACTCTGACGGTTAGCATGTCCACAGGAGAATTGTCACCTCTCTGGAGGAGGCCACCCCTGCTGCCACAGGCTAGGAAACCAGGCCCTACAGAATCCCACAGAGACGTACTGCAGCATCCCTCTGTGCTTACAGGCACCCTCAGTGGTCACCTTCCAGACCTGAGGTGTGGTGTCTTCCTTGTCCACCAGGTCAGAAGAACCTGGACACAGGGAGGCAGGCAGGAAGGCTGGGTGTGGTCTGTTCATAGGAAGCCCTCCAGGCCAGCCTTGGCCTGCCTGTGTGCTGCCTGGAGACAGGATGCCCTGCAGAAAGGCCTAGAGTCACAGGTGTCCTTCAGGGAGATGACCAACAGTCCCATTTGCCCAGGAGCAGAGTTTCTAGGACTTTTCCATGCTAAACTTGAGATGCTTGATCACTACCTTTCTATGGGGCTGTCCCCACCCAAGGGCAGAACCCAGGACCAAGACAGGTGCAATTCAGACAGAATGTAGAGGGATGGCTTCCTGGCCACCCACAGCTAGGCCTTGGGTCTGGGAGGCCCTGGGCTGGGAGCATACCCAGAGCTCTGGGTTTGTAGTCAGCACTTTTGAGCCAGCCTTGGGACCTCCTGCAGGCTGGCCTTCCCAAACCCATTTCCTAATCATGCCCTTCCTGCTACTGCCTTGAACAATGCCATTCCCCACTTTATACATGCCTGTGGCAATCCCATAAGATTCCCTTGAGGGAGCAAGATCTCCATGCCATAGATGAGGAAGCTGAAGATCGCAGGTCAGTGAGCAGCAGAGCTGGGTTGTAGGTTTCTTGGAGGGTCCCACAGAAGGCAGAAGCGAGACATCTGGAAGCACTGGCTTGTTTTCCAGATGCTACTCCTGGGGAAGGCACCTTGGAAAGCAGGAGCAGCGTTAACCTTCTGGCAGCTGGAGGCAGGGATGTCACTGCTCTCTGGCTACACAGAGAAGGGGCCTGTCATTGTTCCCCAAAACCCCCCACTTCAGCTTCTGGTGACAGAAGGGGCCCTAGGCCAGGTAGTCCCCCCCCCAGGTGCTGTAGCTCTCCATGGGGTAGCTAGCAAGGCCAAGGGTGGAGGGTCTGGGAAGACACCCAGAGCTTGCTGTATCCAGGGGCTCAGAAGGAAGCCCTGGGGCAGAATCCTGCCTGACTTGGAAGTAGCAGGGTGTGAGGGTCCCTACTCTACAGTAAGCTGATTCCTGGGCTGAGTGAGGACAGAAAGGGCATAAGCAGGGAAGCAGATGACCCTGGGGCAGTGTTGTGCAACATGGGGCTCAGAAGGACTGTTGGTGTCCTTCCTTGTTGGTAATGACAGTGCTGGAGGCCAAGTGAGGGGGGTTGGTGCAGGGACCCCCTCTCCTCCTGTGGTTTGGGTCTGTGCTCCCAACAGATTCCTACTGTAGCCCTTAACTGCCACCAGGGGGCACCACACTCTACTGTCTCCTCAGCTCCATCTAGCTTCCAGGACCGTCTTTGTGCAAGGATCACCTCACTGCAAGTCAAAACTGGGCCCTCAGGGCAACCAGACCCAGTGAGCAGGCCCCAGTTTTCTGGGTCCAGAGAGGCCCACGGCTGGCTCAGCAACAATGGAAGGAGCCCAGGAAGAGGGGCCCTGGCTGGAGCTGGACACTTCACACCACTAGAGTTGGGTGAGGGCTAACAGCACCCTGGAGTGGGGTGGCCTGGTGCCCTCTGGACTATGCAGTGGGAGCCAGTGGGAGGCCAATGGGACCCAAAGGAGGCTGGAATGGGTGCCCACCTCATGCCATCCCATATCTCAGAGTCCTAGAGAGAGGGGCTTATTTCCTCCCAGACCCCCTCCTCCAGCAGCTTCCCTGAAAGCAGCGCTGCCTCCCAGCCCAGCGCACATTCTCCTAAGCACAGCCCCGTCCTTCACCTCTGAGAGAAAGGCCTGGCAGCCCTGTGGGTCCAGGAGCAGTAGCAGGGCTGGGCGGGGCGGGGCAGGGGCCCCTCTGTGTTTCTTGGCCAGTGCCCAGCCCATACTTGCCCAGTCATCAGAGTCTTAGCCTCTCCCCTTGGAAGGCCACCCCCAATACCACGGGACATGTCTACATCTGCACCCACATTCCTCCTTCATGTCTGTCTGTCCCTCTCCTGTAAAAACTTTTGAAAGGAAATTTTATCATGTTGTTTTTGGACACTTTGGCCTCAATAAATTAATTGAATTTACACTTGCTAAGCTGTCCAGGGCTCATTAGCATAGTGGGAAAACCTTATAAAAAGAGAGGGGGGGGAAGGTGCTCACCAATTGTTCATAAATATAATAAACTGTGTCCTTATTTTAAATTTAAGAATAATGTTGGCACTATTTTAGGTTCCATAGACACTTAATTACATCTTCATGCATTTTCATTTTGCTGGCTTCTTTTTGTGCTCTGGAGACAATGTTTTTCTGCATGTCCAAGTTTCTGGAAGCCCTCAGAGGCCTGCCTGGCTTGGTGCCCATGGTTAGTTAGCCTGGAGAGCCACCTCCACCCCAGCCTGCCTCTCTAGAGCCCCATTTTCCTGTGGGCAGGGTTGGGGGTTTGCAGTACTTGGTGATGTTCATATTCTTGCCACTTCCTGGGTTACCTCTGTGCCCAGCCTACTCCAACCTTCATTGCATTCCCAGCCACCGCAAAGGGCAGGTACTGTCACTCCCATTTTATATTTAGGGAAACTGAGACTCAGAGAGGTTAAATGACTTGACCAATTTCTCATTCCCAGAATAGAATCCAGAGTGGCTGTGGGGGGAACCCAGAGACATACTCTCCATGGGACTCCCTCTCGGTGCCACCATGTGGCCAGTGCCTCAGTGCATGGGAGCCAAGGCTTCCAGGGGACCAGGCTTGTCATGGCTCACCAGGGCCTACTGACCCCTGCCATCACACGAAACCAGACCTGCCTCAGAGAGCTGTCTGACTCAGCTGCACCCAGGTGTGAGAGGTGGACAGCAGGTGGGTTGCAGGAGGATTCTGAAGGTGGGCCAGATGAACAGCAGGGCAGCCTCCTGCCCAAGGAGTTGAGGCTGTAGCCTGGGATGGCTGCAAGGTGTCCACCCCAGTGACTGAAGAGACCAAAGGCTCAGGCAAGGGGCAGTAATCCAGAGGAGAGAGGGCCTTACCAGCCTTCCAGCCCTGACAGTGCGGGAGCCTTGGACACCTGAGAAACTGGGGACAATGCTCCCAAACTGGAGGGGACAGTAGCCACAGTGGGGGTGGGGCTGTGCTAAGTAGATGGCAGGATAGTGACTCCAGGACCACAGAAGGAAAGCTAGGGCCTACTAAGCATGGGAAGGACAAGAAGTAGTTTTCTAGAGGCTTCTTGGGACAGAGGGGGGAGCAGGGGGTGGGGGAAAAAGCAGCCTTTCCCAGGCTGGGCCTTGAGTCCTTCAGTCTACCCTCTACATGCCCTAGAGGCGTGTGTAGCCTCCTGTATAGCCAGGGAAGATGATGCTGCGGGGGCACCCAGGAAGGCCAGGCCGACTCAAGATTAGTCAGCCCTGTCTTCCACCCCAAACTAGGGAAGCACCTTCTGATCCAGGTCCTGCCCCTTCTCCTGGAGCCTGTGTGGGGTGGGGTGGACTCTCCCAGAGAGCAGTAAGGGAGAACAGTCTGGGGGACAGTATCAAATTGAACTGGGGGCAGTAAGGAGGGTGTGGACTGGTCCAGGAGGGCAGCGGAGTGGAGGCCACTTGGGGGCTAAGGGGTGGAGGGGACAGGTCCTCCCCCACATCAGGCTAGTGGAGGGGCGGAGCTCTGATGGGAGAAGGACTGCAGAAGTCTGCTCCCTCCCTCCCCACCATGGACTTTGCTAGTTCCCACTGGGAAGGTTCAGGCTCAGGAGAGGGAGAGGGAGGTGGGCAGGAAGGGACCTGGCCCTGCTGGAGACCTGCCCTGCGGAAGGGGACTCGGTCTGCTGGTCAGCCCGTCTCCTCCTCCTCCCCAACAGCCCCTGAGGCTGCTGGCGCTGGCATGACCTCTAATCCCTCTGCTTCTTTTAGGGGGCGGGCACGTTGCAGCACGTTGTAGAGACCATCTGCCCCTCACTCAGTATCCCTCCCCGGTATCCCTCCTCGTCCCCCAGCCACTCTCAGCTCCTCGCTCACTCAGCCACGCCGGCCCACTTTCTCCAGCTCCCGCGCAATCCAGGGTGAGGTCGAGCTCCGTGGGCACCGGAAGTGCTAGGTCCTTGGATGCAGCTGGATGAGGGGAGATTCCAGAATTGGCCTAGGCTAAAAATCTCAGGCTGAGAGGAAGCAGGCAGGCTGCTCCCTGCTGTCACGCCTGAGCATCCTGAGTACCACAGTGGCCTAACCCCCTGCCCATCGCAGCAGGAGCCGGGCGAGGTCACTTTAACGCACGGGCTGCCAATGCAGGGATGGAGCAACCTTGTAAAATGCTGACCCCCAGGTGATGAGTCCAGGTTCCCAGAGTGCAGAATGCGCCTCACTGCTTCCCAAAGTTGGGCACTCTCTTTCATCCTTCATGGCTTGCGGCAGCCCTAAAGACTAAAGGCTAAAGTCTGTACTCTGGCTCTGGGGTGGTTGTGGGCTGGAGCAGGAAGAGCCCAGGTCAACGATTTTTTTTTTTTAAGTGTTGGCAGGAAGTATCAAGTTCCCCATTAGATCCTGCAGGGCCCTAAGGGCACACATTCTTAACCCTGTCCCACAGATCAGACAGCTGTCACTCACACCCCAGCAGAAGCAGCTGGACCAGAGGTGGCTCTTGTCGCCACACTCCTACATAGCCAGCCATGGGTCACAATGTGGGAGTGCCAATCTCCATTCTGCTGGGATTGCTGAGGGGTTCCTTATTTGTAAATTGGGTATGTGAAAATATACACAGGCAATGCGTTTATGTTGCTCCCAGGACCTAGAGTGCTGAGGTCTTAACAGTTTTTGTTCTGTTTTATTGGCAGCAGAGCCCCACTTCCATATGGAAGTTGGGGTGGGGGGGGTGTCCAGTCACTTTATGACACAAAACTTTCCAGCTGATTGGCCCCGCCCTCTGCAGCTCCCAGGCCACGAACCTTGAAAGCCAGTGAGAGTGAAGATCTGAAGATCAAGGGGTTGAGGCCAGGCTGAGGCTGCCCTAGGACCACCAGCTCTTCTTCCTCCTACCCAGCCTGCCTTACAGTCCAAGGTCATGACTGCGGCCGGCCGCAACCGCCCAGCCAGGCGCTTGCTTCCTAGTAGCGAACCGCTCCTCCCCAGAAAAGGCAGCCTTGGCCTAAGGACCAGCGCCAGCCTCTTGTAACGAACTTACTCTTCAAATCAGGCACCACAAGCAGCCTGTCCTCTTGAGAGCCCCTCCTGCCTGTGGCGGCAGTCCTCTTCCCTAGCCGGGTCCCCACTTTCAGCCTGGTGTCCACTAAATAAACGACAACGACACTTCCGCTCTCTGTTTCCCCACTGACAACCTCAGAGAAGCCTTCGTTTTATGCTCCAACCGTCTGCGTTCCTCTCCCAGTCCAGGCCTTCCCTGAGGCCACTCTGTCCCGCGGAGAAGGGTGTCGTTTGCAGCCCCACAAGGGACCCCGGAGCAGACAGACGGCTAGGCATGGTCCTCCCGCAGAGCCAGTGCTGGATCTGGACCTGGGCAACAAGTCCCTGCACACACTGTGCATGGGCCCGGCGGGGTGGCAGGGCGCTTGTCCCGCAGTGCATCCTGCTTCGGGTCTCAGGAGACGCTGCCCGCGTCCTACTGGCCGGGTAGAGCGCCAGGCGGCGGTCCCAGCGCGCTCCGCTTCCTCTCAGCAACGCGTCCGGCCGCGGCGCCCTTATTGGCCGCGCGCCCGGCCGCGGGTCATTGGTCGGTGGTCCTCATTTACATAAACCGCCCTGGCCCAATCGGCGCGCAGCACCTACTTAACATGCATGACGGCCACCAGTCAGCAAGCGCGGGGGCCGGGCCACCACGTGCTGTTGCTAAGCTTGGGCTTCTAAATTGTTACTACAGCTGTCGGCCTATCGGAACCGAGCTTCGCATCTGTCAACATTCTCGGCCCGGCCCGAGGCGTTCGGCCAGTCCCCATTGGTCCAGATCCTGTCCAGCGCCCGCCTCTGGGGCTGCAGCGCTAGCTCCCATTGGCTATGCCGGCCGCCGCTCGCCCTTATGTGTCAATTTGAGGGCCAGAGGCAGAGGGTGGCGGCCGAGCTCAGGAGTCCGCGAGTCGGACAAGTGTGCCGCGGGGCGCGCTGGGCGGACGGCGAGCGGAGCCGGCCGGAGCGCGCCGGGCAGCGGCCGCCGCCGTCCCGAGAGGGGCGCGGGCGGCAGGATGGAGCTCAACTCCCTGCTGCTGCTGCTGGAGGCGGCCGAGTACCTGGAGCGCAGGGACCGAGGTAGCCCGCGCCCCTTTGTGCGCCGGGTGGGCGGGCGGCGGGCTGGGCGGGGGACCGCTGACCGCGCCGTCTGTCCGCAGAGGCCGAGCACGGCTACGCCTCGGTGCTGCCCTTCGACGGCGACTTCGCAAGGAAGAAAACAAAGGCGGCCGGCCTGGTGCGCAAGGCCCCGAACAACAGGTACCGCCCCCGCGCGCCGCCCCGCCGCCCCGGCCGGCCCCGCCCGGTGTCCCCCGGCCGCCTCGCGTCCGCCGCGCGACTCCGCGCGCCCCGGCGGCCGGCCTGGAGGAGGCGCGTCGGCCCCGCCCGCCCCGCCTGCGCGTCGCCATCTTCCCGCGGCCGCGCCTCCCGTCGCGCGTAAACAGTGCCACGCGTACACGCCTGCCGCCCGCCCCGCGCCCGCCCCAGGCTCTCTGGACTTTTCCTGGCGGGAGAGAAGTTGTCAACGGGCTCCCACCGGTGCCTCTGGGGCCCGGGACACTGAGGCTCAGCGGCTGGGCCCTGCGTTCTGCGCGCGGAGGGACCGCCTCCTTATCCCATCTCAGAGCTGGGCCCTACTTCTTGGCTCAATACCCTATCCCCAGGAGCCTGGACAAAGGCCCCTCCCAGGTGTCCACCAGTCCTACCCAGTCTCCTGACACTGAAACTCTAGACACAAGTTCAGGGATCCCCTTCTTTGGGACAGGAGGCCTTTGGGAGAGGTAGGAGGAGGGAGCAGGCTCCTTAGGATCAGTTACTTCCTCCAGCCCTTGGCCTTGTACTCAGACTGCAGAAACCCTGAAATTGGAGTGCACGCATATGGGGAGCCGATACCCTGGGCTAGGGCACCCCAGGGTACCGGCACCTAGCTACTGTGGGGGGCCTGGCACACCTGGCAGTGTCCAGGGATCTACCTTGGCCTACCTACTCCTGTGTCACTAGGCCAGGAACTGCACTGGCCGGGGGCTTCTGGGCCTCTTGGCAGAGAGTGCAGCTCATTCCTGTGGCCTGCCTGTTCTTAGGAAACAGGCTGGCATGCAGGCCCATCTCTGTGGTGTCCTGGGCCTGGAAAGGAATTGGTTTGAGTCTCAGCTGCCTGAGACTCAGCATCTAGTCCCCTGCTGAAGACAGTTTGCAGAAGGACTTGAATGTGTTAGGGGCACCACTGCCTCTGACCTGGACAGTAAGCTAGTCAGGCTTCTGCTTCTGGCTGTCCAGACTCTGGGAAGAGACCTCCAGCTCCCACAGTGTGGAATGCCCAAAGCTGACCCCCAGAATCCTAGCTGAGGCTCACTGAATGCTTCCTCCACACACAGCCTCATGAAGGCAATGTTATTTTTATCTCCATTTTACAGCTGAGGAAACTGGTGCATAGAACCATTTGGTTACTTGTCTGGGGCCCCTTTACCCACCTTTGTGACTCCTGTTCCTGGGTGGGGTCCACTTTCTGCTGGGATGAGGACCCAGGCAAGGGATTGAGAGGGTCTCCCTGGCCTGGGTGCACCTCTTCTGCAACCCCTTTGAGCAGAGCCCAACTCCCCCAGGGCCAGAGGCAGCCAAGGGTGACAGACATGGCCCCTTTAGAGGTCACCAGCCTTGAGGGTGTTCTTAGCCACACTAGATGAGAAGCTGGGGTCTGATGTAAGGCTTTATGTCTGCCAAGGTGAGGGACAGGAACAAGACACAACAGACCTGAGTGAGAAACGGGTGTCACTGCTGTAGGCTCAGGCAGTGGCTCACCGGGAAGACACTGGAGCCAGCTTGTCAGGTTGGGCTCTGTGAGGTGAGCAGAAGAATGCATGCCTCACAAGGTGCGGGTGATGCCAGGAAAGCACTTGGCACAACTCTAGCCAGGGTTAGTGCCACCTCTCCCCAGGGAAGGTGCTGCTAAGACCTGTGTGACAGGCCTCCTCTGCAAGGGTCTCTGGACACAGGAGGGCCTCAGCCCTTTTCTACCCCCAGGCTACTGAGAAGTGCCCCTCTGCCTCCAGGGTGGGGTCATCCTTTAATTGAGCAGGTGGGTGGTGGGCCTCGCTACACTGAAGGGCACCTTCTGACCTCAGCCTCCCTCATGAGCCAGCATACCTACAAACCACATGGCCAGGCTGAGGTTTGGGCTGAGGGACAGCCCCTGGTAGGCCAGTGAAGGGGTTAGTGATACCCCCTCTGGCTTCAGCTAGCCCTCGCAGAGGGTTCTCACCCAGCCCATGTGAGTAGCAGGTTCTTGAGGACCCTGGAAGTTGAACAGTGAGGCCCAGGAGCTGGCAAGCACCATGAGAAGAGGGCAGGCCTAGTGCCCAGGTAGCTGCAGCAGGTGGTGGAGGAAGGCAGGGTGGACAGGCACTGTAGCCTAAGGGGTAAGGATGGGAGATGCCAGATCCATGTTCCTGGAGCAGGGGAGTGGAAATAGGCAGGCAGTGTCCAAAGAAGCCCCCAGGTGTGTCAAGGCTTAGTCTAGGTATACACCTGCATGGCCTGAGCGCTCTGTTCACATGTGCAGCTGCGTGAGAAGCCTGGGAGCCCTGGCTGGCCTGTGGGTCCCTCCTGGACTGGGAGGGTGACTGAAAGTTGAAGGGTAAATTTCCTGAGTGGCACCTGTGATGCTCAGGACTCTGCACCATCTGAGTGGGCAGGATAGGTGAGGCTCAAGCAGCTGGCAGGGCTGCTGTTCCCAGGGAGGCTAAGCTTGGGCCCAGAGAAGCTAGTTCTGCCAGAACATGGCCTGTGAAGGAAGTGGGAGATACACCAGCCTTGGTGTTCCCTGCATGCAGTGACCCAGGAAGCATCAAAGCCTCAGACACCCCCTCCGTGGCCTGACCTGGCTAGGACTACTTGTCTTGGGTATTCTCATCTGTGTGGTGGTATGTGTGAGCCTGACATGGTAGCCATGGTACATGGCCACCTCATCTCCTGAGGACCTGACTTCTGTGCTCCATGCTCAGCATATTAGCCCTCTTTGTGGTCCTTGTTGGTTGCAAAGACACACCTGGTCTTGGGGTACGGGGAACAGAAAAAGGCAGATGGTTAAGTACAGTAGCTGTGCTGCCTGGGCCTCTACACATCTGGAAGAGGTTCTGCATCCTTCTGCCAACCACGATCCCACCAAGCCTCATAGGTGAGCCTGGTGGCTCTGGGTCCCCCCAATCTGTGCACACCTCTTTGCTTCCTTTGTGTGCCCCCACCCCCATGCCCTCACCCCATCCTTGCAGCTCAGTGTGAGGTTTCCTTAGCACTTGGATGGCAGCTGTTGCATTTACCCCAGCCCTTACCATCTGTGGGCCTCCTGGGGCCCAGATCTGCCCTGTTACTCTCTGTGGGCTCCAAGCCCCTCCCCCAGAAGAGCCATTGTTGTTTTGCTCTGGTGGTCAGGCCTCAGAGTGAGCCCTGTCTTTCTGTTTCTCTAAACAGGTCTTCACACAACGAACTAGAAAAGCACAGGTAAGTGACACTTGCCCTCACCAGTTTCTATTCAAGCCTCCTGATAGGCCTGTCCCTTCTGCTGAGGCGATGCTGCAGCTGACCTCACAGTCCTGGGAGGGCTGCCAGTGCTGCCAGGCTGTGCCCTCAGTATAGAAAGGGTCAGTCTTGAAGGAGGGGGCCAAGGTTTGTTCTCAGGCACTCTCAGGCTGGCAGGCAGGGGTGGGGGCCCAGCTTTGGAGTGTTCAGCCTGGGTCCAGGGCCAGGTGGGGACCAGGGACTTGGAAAAGGCCCTGTGCTGGTGTCAATCAGGGATGGCTCCCTGGAGGAGGCAAATGGGTATGCTTCTGAGCCCCTCTGGGAACAACACTTCAGCCTTGGTGTCATGACCTCAATAGTGGGTCCCACCACCATGATCTGACCCCTTATCCCCCAGTTCCATGCCTTTTGCCTCAGTGCCTTCTTGGGCCTGTGCTGGAGTCTTGTCGTAGGGGCAGCACAAGTGCAGCTGGCTGGGCCACCTCCCTGCACTCTAGCCCCAGTTAGGGCCCTAGCACAGGTATCCCACCTGAAGCAGCTCTAGCTGCAGACGCCCCTCTGTTAGTTGGGGCAGGTGTGAGCCAGGGGCCTTTTCAGCTGCTGAGGGAACTCTGGGTGAGTGCAGAGGCATGTTGGGCCAGGAAGTCTCAAAGACAGAAGCCCCCATGCCACCATGGGGGAGAGCCCCTGAGAGACACCGGGGGATACCTCTCTCATTATCTTTGCTCTCATCTGTGAAATGGGTCTATTCTTTGTTCCCTTCCTGGTAAGTGGGTGGGTCTGCATCCGAATTGAGCCCTCCTGGATGTACTGGGAAGGTCTGAAGTTCAGCCAGGTCCCCGCCTCTCCCTCCCCCATGTCTGCGCCCTCAGCACCGCCAACTTCCCCTGCCCTGGGAGTTAGGCCTCTGGCTGGGGCGGGCTGCTGGGCAGGGGCAGAACACCCTGTTCCCTGAGGAGATGTACTTCCTGCACTGGTCATCTCTGTTTTGGGGGTTCCGTGGGGGGTGCTGATGTGGAGCCAGCCTAGGGCTGCTTCCAGGCCCTAGGAGACCCAACCAGGCTTGACCCGGACCCACAATCTGGGATGGGGCAGGCCACAGTGGGGATACTCTGGGAAGAGCTTCCTGGAGGTGGCATTTGGAAGAGCAGCTTTCAGGAGGTACCATTGAAGGAGGGCAGGTGGCAAGGCAGGGAAGCCTGTGGTGGAGAGCAAGCAATGCCTCAGACCCCTGCAGCTGCCTCTTGGTCTCTGCCAGCTCCTCCTAGAGCTCATGCTTAATGGAGCTCAAGGAACCTTTTGAGATAGAGGGGTAGGTGGGCAGCCTAGGAATCTCTCTATGCTCCCACAACCCAGTGAGGGGTTTCTGTTTCTGGCTGGCCAAGGCACAGGTGTGGACATCCTGAACAGCCTACAAGCTGGAGCTGGGAGCCCTGAAGAAACTTTGGCCTTGGCTGTGCCCATGGCTAGCCTTGTGCTGGTGCTGGATGCTCAGTGCTCCTGGCTGTTGGCTGAAGGAAAGGCTGTGTGCTCTCCAGAGGAAGGAAGGAAGCAAGCAAGCAAGCATCAGGCTCCTCTGCTTGGCTGGCTTCAGGGATGGAGGCCCTGGACACTCTTTCTTGGAGGTGTCCCTCTTGAGGGTCTGGGTTAGGCCTGTGGGGCTTCCCCCTCGTGGTGCTTGAGCTGAGCCCAGTCAACCCTAGGCCTGCCCTAAGCACCCTTGTATGTAAGCAGTTCTGGAAGGTCTGCCAAGGCTAACTGACCCCAGGGGTCTGGTAATCCTCACGGGCCTAGCTCCAGCCTTTGGCCTTAGTGGGTATATGGGAGGAAGCCCTGGCTGACTTTCCTTATCCTTAGTACCCCCTGGAGTGGCAGTGCACACCCTAAAGGCCAGACCTCACTGCTCATTTGGCCCCTGCTCCACTTCAAGCGTAGAGATGGTTGTCCAGGCTAGACTTTCCCTGGCAGGGCCTGCCCTGGAGCCCATGGCCTGCCCTGTGGGCTGCCCCCATGCTCCTGATGCAGCTTTGTGGAACCACATGGGGAGTGTGTTTGTTAGAATAGCTAGAAGATGCAGGTAAACAGGAGGAGGGAGGGTGATGGTTCCCCGGGTCCCTGTCCTCCTGTCTCTTGGACTTCCTGGCTGCCTCCTCTCCAGCAGCCTGTCCCTGCCTGGTTCAGAGTGTGACTCTGTCAGCTAGCCAGCACTCTCTTCTCAGGTCTGGGGGACCCTGGCCTGAAGCCAAACCCTCCAAGAGCTCTGAGGAGTAGGGATTTTCAGTGAGAGGCTGGGCGGGACCATGTGGTGGGCTACACTGTGGTGGAGGTGGGGATGCTATTGATGTCAGAGCAGGAGTCCCACGGGCAGGCTACCTCCTAGATCTATGCTGGGCTCCTTTAGAAGTGCTAGATCTTAAAAGCTGCTTGGAATGCTTGGTGACAGCTGCTGGCAGAAGGCCTGGGGTACTGCAGTGACTTCAGGGAGGAGAGTTTGGTAAGAACCTAGTGTAGCCCCAGCTGTGGGGCCAGGGGCTCAGAAGGGTAGGGACCTTTCCAGCACCCCACCACTGGCCATTGGCAGAGCTAATTCCAGATCCTGGCCCCAGGCAGCCCATCGCAGTCACTGTCCAGGGCAGGGAGCCAGGGCAACCCTGGCTGTGTGCTTCCTGGGTTTGGGTGGACATGCTGCAGTTTTAAACACTGCACATGTGTGGTCAGGTGGCCTTGCTTTGTTTCTCGAGTCTCTTCATATACTCCTGTACCCTACCCCCAGAGATGGCATCCCAGGCACTTGGAGGCCCTGGGATGAGAAGGGGACCTTGCTGTCCACTATTCCGGTTGGATTTCTCACCTAATACCACATAAGTGCTTCCTACGTGTGTCCATGCACCCTCCCTGTCCTGAAGCCTTTGCAGGACCTGCAGCCAAGCTTCCAGGGTTCTCAGCTTCCAGGGTTTTCTACACAAAGCCGAGGCTGAGTGTGGCCCTTTTGGGGGGAAGGTTTTGTAGGACAGAAATCCTAGGAACAGAAACATGGATCAGTAGTGACTTTGATAATTATGCTATGGCCCTTCTCCCACAGCAAACTGACAGGTCCCCACGGCTGGTCAGGCAAGTGCCAGCCACCCTTTGCACATCAGCTATTGTAAAGGGGACGTGAATGTCTGCTCATCTGAGTTTTCCTTAATCACTGTGAGATAAAACCAGTTTTTTATGTCAGATTTTCCCTTCATACTCTGCAAATTGCCTGTTTGTGTCCTTTGCCTGTTGTCACATTGAAGTGTTCCTCCTTATTTTTGATGTGTATGAGCTCGGAATACCACGAATACTGACCGTTTGTCTTTATATGTATCGCAAACATTTTTCTACTGTTATTTGTCTTTTAGCTGTGTTTTTTCTTTCTTGTACAAACGTGTCTTTCTCTGATTGTAATAGTAATACGTGGGATTCTTTTAGCATAGAAAACCTGGAAAACATAGAAAAGCACAAAGCTAAAGAAATAAACATTGCCAGCCGCATCCCTGGAGACGCTCGCTTCCTGTGCTTCATTGTGTTTGGTTGAGTCTCTTGTGTGCGTTCTCTGTTTTATTTTTTAAACAAAATCGGGTCACTTGTCACATATGTGGTTCTGTACCCTAATTTTTTTACTGAACACTCATGACATGAAAGTGTAGCTACACTGGAATCACAATGTGATTGTCTCTGGGTGGTGGAATCGGGGGATACTTTTTTTTTTTTTTGGTAATTTTCTAATTTTTCCATAAAGGTGACATACTGCTGATATAGTTAAGTGGTGGCATATGACAGATAGATTGGGAAGAGGATCCCTGGCAGTGTCCCCACTTGTGAACAGTCCCATTGGTGGCTGCAGGACAGTGGGAACCTGCCTTGGGAGGAGACCCGTCCTCCGAGCAGAGGCTCTGCTCATCATCCAGCTCCACGCCTCCTTCCCCTTCAGTTTTTGGAGAGGGGCACTTGCCCCAGGACAGGTGGGGAGGCTGAGGTTCTGGGCACTCCAGGCCCAGTGCAGCAGAAGTCTGGATCCCGAAGCCCACCTGTGTGCCCTCTTCCCTGTGCTGTGGCTAGAGGAATCTCCAGCCTTGAGGCAGTCTAGGGCCTGCTCGCCCTGTTCACCCTTCCATCTCCTCACCACGTGCAGTCACAGACCTGTATCCTGGAAGTTATTCCTGGAGGTTCTTCACCCAGAATAACCTCTAGGCCCCGGAGGATGGCTGGGGCGTCAGGTGACATCATTTGTCAATGCAGAGTGCTATATGGGTGACAGGCTTAGTGGCCTCAGACAGCAACCCATCTCCTGCAGCATAGGGAGATGTTGTCTCTTCTCTGTAGCCTTTCCCTATACCTGGCAGCCCTTCCTCCTCTGGGCCTTGGGTTCCTCCTCTGTCCAAGGAGATCCGCTGTCCTCCAGGGTCTCTCTAGGACTGAAGGAGAGTGCATTTGTTAGGGCTCTGCTACTAGGGAGCAGACATGAGACAATGGGGACCACTGGCATAGATCAGAGAGGAGAGGGTGTTGGCCGCCACAGGTGGGCTTCAGGTTGTCTACACCTTGACCTGGCAGCTCCACTCCTGAGAATGATCCTAAGCAAAGCATACTGGATTTGGAAGCAGCCTCAACCACAGCAAGGGCAAAGCAGATCTGTTACTGAGCATCTCTCAGCTAAAACCACCAGTTCCACTTGGGTGGTTGCATGCAGACGTCACTGAGGTCCTGGGCCATCATGGTGGTGTCAGAGAGAAGGCCCCTCCCAGACCAGCAGGCTCCTGACCAGCCAGGAAAGGCAGCGATTCTGCAGGGAATTGGTGCATATGAACATAAGAACAAGTGCCTGAGAATGGTCCACCCGTGTGAGTGTGGGGACAGACTGGAATAAGGAGGGGTCCAAAGGGAATACAAATCTGGGCAGGGGGCTCCTCCTCGGCCGTCCCTTGACGTGGCTCATGTTCCTGTGAGGACAGAATGATCGGGGAGCATACTGTGGTGCTGAGGTGGGGATGTGAATGTTGTCTGAGTCCCCTGGATCTCTGAGTGCAGAATAGGGCTCTTAGGCCACGTGCAGGGCCATGTGAACATCCATGTGCAGATGGCCCCATGTGCCTGGCTGTTTCTGGGGGGAGATGGCAGCCAGATCTGCAGCAGGGTGGGGTACTGTGCAGGGACCCAGCTGGTCACCACCCACCCTCACCCGGATCTCTCCTACCTGCTGTCCCTTCACAGGGGTCCCAGGGAGCCCAGCTGTACCCCCACATTCCCTCCCCCATTCCCTCTGCCCCCTGGGCTGTGCCACCTGGCCTGATGGTTCTGTCTCTGGCTCTTTCAGACGAGCTAAGCTCAGGCTCTACTTGGAGCAGCTCAAGCAGCTGGTGCCCCTGGGCCCTGACAGCACGCGTCACACCACGCTGAGCCTCTTGAAGCGTGCCAAGATGCACATCAAGGTGAGCAGCCCATGCCCTCCACCCTCTCTGGCTGCCTGGCTACCCCTGCTACCCCTAGCCCATCCCTGTGTGTCCTGGGCAGCCCTTTGACCAGAGGTCCTGGAGGTGGGGGGCACTGTCCAGCAGGTACACATTAGCGGCTTGGGTTTCTGTTTGTTTGAGGGAAGACAGACAGAAGCTTCTGGGGTAGAGGAAGTCACATGGCTTCTGTTGGGTTTTGTTGTTGGTGATTGGGAGGGAGACAATGTAGTGGCTGGCTGGGGTAGAGTTGGGCTCTCGGAGGCCTCTGTGAAGGGGCAGCACCTGGAAGGAGATGTGGGGCCAGGAGGGGCAGGGATTCTTTCATGTCTTCCTAGAGAGGGCTACTTCTAAACCCCTTGGGTGTCAGGAGAAGGTGGGATTTGCTCTCAGGAGACATTACTTGGAGTAGCCCAACAAGGCTTTTAGATTGAGACCTGCTGCTTTGGGGATCTTAGAACGCCTGGGCCAACCATAGCTTATTTCTGTCCCTTTGAAGGGCTTCTGCTTCACAGGCATAGGTACCCCAGGTAGGGCTGGCAGGAGCTTTGAGGGGGCGCAGCAGGGATTTGGCAGGGGGGGGCCCTCAGAGCAGGCAGTGTCTAGGTCCAAGGAAGGTTGAGAGGTTGGGCACTGATGCTATGGGTGCAGGTGTGGTCTGTGCCAAAGCCTAGGGGCGGGCGGGGCTGTCCTCCAGGAGGAGGTTGGGTGGTGCTGTCACAGCTGGCTGGTGGCTGTTGGCATTCTGGAGTTGGACTGCAGGTGGAGAGCCCAGAGCCAGGCTGGCGTGTGCGTGGCCACCTGGCTGGGGTGAGAAGGGGTGCATCAGGCCATGGGGGCCAGTGGGCTGGGCACCCTGTAGCCCCAGCCTGGTTGGGCCCTGTTGGGGTGAGAATCTGACCTATCCAGACCTCTGTGCCTCTGCACCCACGAGGGGATGCCCCCTCCTGGCCACAGGCTCACAGTGCCCCACCCCTCAGAAACTGGAGGAGCAGGACCGCAGGGCGCTGAGCATCAAGGAGCAGCTGCAGCGGGAGCACCGCTTCCTGAAGCGGCGCCTGGAGCAGCTGTCTGTGCAGAGCATGGAGCGTGTGCGCACGGACAGCACTGGCTCCGCCGTCTCCACAGACGACTCAGAGCAAGGTGGGCCCGGGACAGCCTGACCCAGGCCTCTGGGCACAGGCGTTCTTCAGCTTCTGGTGAAAAGGAGCCTGGGGCGGGGGTGGAGTGGGGTGATGCCCAGTAAGGACAAGGCCCCACACCATGTGCACCCGCTTTTACAGCAGTATTTTCCTGCCTCACCTTGGTGTGCAGGAGGGACAGGAGGAGAGGGTGAAGCCAGAGGCCAGTGCCCTGGCCATGTAAGGGCCAGAGCCTGGCTGGGTTCTTAACAGGAGCTGCAGCCTGGAGTCATCCCTCAGGGCCCAGACAGATCCCCCTCCGCTCCTTCCTCTGCACCCACCCCCAGAGCCTCCCCTTCTGTACAGGGAGAGATGGGCCCTTACTTGGTTCCTCATGCTAGTCTTCTTGGAGTGCCTGACCCAGCCCTCTCTGTTCTCCCCAGAGGTGGACATAGAGGGCATGGAGTTTGGCCCTGGTGAGCTGGACAGTGTTGGCAGCAGCAGTGACGCCGATGACCACTACAGCCTGCAGAGCGGTGGCTGCAGTGACGGTGGCTATGGGCGCCCCTGCCGGCGGCCTGGCCGCCCCAGCCTCTCATAGGCCCCGCACACTCTGCTGCTTGGCCCCTGCCGCCCGCCTGCCTGGTCAGCGTGTCAGCCTCAGTTCTCCCTTGACCGATGCAGCCTCTCCCTGGGCCACTGCTGTGCCATTCTGGAAGCTCCAGCTGCTGCCTGGGCTGCCCGCCTCTGCCTGCTGCCTGCTGGTCAGGGCCTGAGCCGCCCGCCCGCCCACCCTCCCTTCCCCACTGGTCAGGGCCCCTTGCAGGGAGGCAGGGCCCGGCTCCCATGACCTGGAGCCCAGTGTTGCCACCCACGGTCTGCTCTCAGATTCCTAATCATTCCAGAAGTATTAAATGTCATTGCTGCAAACCTCGGCGGGCACCGTGTAAGGGGCTTAATGACCACCTCAGGGAGCTCAGACCCCAGCACCGGACCCCAGGAGAGAGGAGTGGACTGAGGAAGGAAGGAAGGTGCAACTGTCTGTCTGTCCACTTGTCGGTTGGTCCATACAGGCTCCTGAGGCTTGGACAGAGAAAGCGTGAAGGGCGGGACTGGGTGAGCACCCTGGGCAGGTAGGCGGAGAGGGGCCTTCCCATCCATGGGCGTCAGGAGCCAGGGATGGACTTGTGGTGGCAGGCTGAGCCAGTCCACATCAAGCTGGGCAGTGTCTGCTCTGTCGAGACCTTCCCATGCACACATACACTAGCCCACACGCACACATGCGTGCACTGGAGGAAGGCTGGCCTTTGGGGGCCACCTAGGCAAATGCTGGTCCCTGGCCTGTCTCGGCAGCCCAGGCAGCAGAGACTTTGTCTCTGTGTGGCCACCGCCAGCTCACCTGTATCAGCCCACCTGTGCCAGCCCAGGTGGCTCTGCCTGCTCTGCATGGGAAGCAGAGCTTCTCCTTGTGCAGGGCTGGGATGAGCTGTGGCGGCAAGCTGAACCAAGTCCTCTGGGCTTTCTCATCTTCCTTTCTTATGAAAAGTCAAACAAAACAAAAACAGCAAGGCCGCAGCATGACAGGAGCTCCCTTCAAGGGGAGCTTAGAAGTTCTGCCCATCGCAGCCTCAGCTGGCAGAGGCTTTCCCCAAATGCAAAACAGAGAAACATTTTTAAAAAGAGGAAAAAAGAAGCTCTAAAAACCCTCACCAAGGGACGTGTGTGCCGCCTCTATTTCCTGTACAAGATTTTTGTATTCTATTTTCCTAGCCATCGTTGCGTCCTTGTATGCTGAGGGGTGGGAGTGACCCAGTGTCTCAGGGACCCATCCTCTGTCACGTTGTCATTGTGTGCCTTGTGTCCCATCTTGACTTGCCCACCACCAGCAGCATGTTCCCTGTGACTCAAAGGATGCCTCAAGTCTGCCAAGCAGGTGCCTCCTTGCCCCCTCCCCATGGACAGCTCCTCCCAGAGGCCAAGGTTTCCTTGGAGTGAGGTGCCTGTGCTGTGTAGGCAGCATGGCCACTTTTCCTCCCCTGCAAGAGGGCTGTGACCAGGCTCCCAGTGTTACCTTCCTGGTTGGCTGGGGCCCACTATGTTATGAATCTGCAACCTGCCTCAACCTGCCTGCTTCTGGGCCTGGGGTGAGGGCTCCAGGTGCCAGGTTGGCAGCTGATGAAGTGTTTGCTCTGGAGGTGGGGGCCTGGCTAGGGGGCTTCTGCTGGCTTTCGGTCCTGAAGTCCTTGTCCCCCAGGGGATCACACAGCAATACTTGGGTGGTGGCTGTGGGGCTGGCCTATAGCAGCACCTGCCACCACCTCTGGTGCATTTATAACCAGTTTCCAAATCATGAGAGGAAATTCGATTTCTCTTCTATCATGTCAGTGAACACCCTCAGAGTCCAGGGAAATACCTGTGGCACGGAACCTCCCCTACAGGGGCTCAGGATGGCGCCAGAGAACAGGCCTGTGGGTGGGGATCCTGGGGAGCAGGGATGGGGGCTGTCCAGATGTCTTCCTGGGTGTTCTGACTGTGTCTTCAGCCCACTGGGGCTTCTCCTGTCTGCCAGGCGTATCCACTGAGCTTTCTAGCTCCTCTACCCTCAGAGCAGAGCAGGAGTCCATGTTTCAGGGCCTGGTTCAGGATCCAGAACTCCAAAGTCTCCTGATGTGCCCTGAATTCTTAAACTATCAACTCTGCTCCATCTCCAACACCTGGGGTTCTGCTCCCCCCCTCTGCCTAGCAGAATCCAGCTCAGGTGACCAGAGTGGCCCCTTGGCTGGCCTTCTTGGCAGCTCAGCCTGTGCCCAGTCCCATGTGGACTTGGAAGTTGGGCTCATCAGCCACCTAGGGGTGCTCTCCATCTGCTCCTCCCTGCCACCAGCAGGGTGTAAGGGGTGGTCCACAGGGGTGGGGGCTGGTGCTAAGAGTTCCATATCCATTCCTCCCTTCCCTGCTCCCTGCCATTTGCCCAGACTGGATGTTACTGGTGGCCACATGGACCATCAGGACCACTGTAGTGTCTGCAGAAGGAATTTGGGACAACAGCCACATCCTCCATCCTCCATCTTTGCCCACCTACACCCACATCCATGTGGGCCTCATGCTCCGTGGCTGAGAGTCTAGAACCCTTGGTTCAGGCTTGGGTCCCCATCTCCCTAGGAGGCATCCCACTCATACCATGCCCTTCCGTCCTGCTTCAGGCCTAGCTGGCCTGGGAGGAGAGGCTGTTTCTTCAACTCATCCTGGTGGTGATGGCAAGGTCTTTGAGCTTGTGTTCCTGGGTGATGGACCATGCACCAAGCTATGACCTGAGGGCTCCACCCTTTGCTCTCCTGTCTGCCCCACCATCCAGTCTCTCTCTGGGTCAGAGAGACCCTGGGACCTACCCACCCCATACTGCCTGCAAAGAGGGTCAGTAGCCTTGGCCCCATCCAGGGCACTAGGGCAGGTTCCGTGCCAGAGTCTGGGGCCATTTAGGGGGCCTGGTGCTGGTTCAGCTGGAGAGTGAAAGGGGCCCCACCCACCTGTCCTCCAGGTGGGGCTGTGCTGTGTCATTCTGTCATTGTAATATAAATACAGATTTTTATACCTCACCCTCTGGCTTCCAGTTCTTTCCATTGCCCTGCTTTGCTCTCTTCCCCTCAGCCTTCAACTAGGAGGCCTGAGCTTGAGGGCACCTTCGTCATCCAGGCCCTTGGGGATCAGCCCTTGCTGTCCTGTCCTTAGCCTCTGCTGTCTGGGAAGCCTGACAGACCCCACTTGCCAGCCACTCTTGGGACCCCACTGTTAGACCTGGAGTTGAATGAAAGGTGGGGTTGACCCCCACCAGCATGTGCTCACCTGTAGGCCAACAGGTGCTTGTGTTGACTTTCAGGCTTTGCCCTAGCCCTGGGACTGGGGCACTGCCAGGAGCCAGGACAGCTCACCCCTTAGGGGTCTCTGTGCCTGCCAGTTGTCTTCTTTGCACAAAAGCTGTGCAGGACTGTGCCTGAGAACCCTACCCTTGTCCTGCCCCCAGTGTCCCCAGAATGACCTAGGCATGTCCTCTGCTGCCTGCTCTCAGGACCTACCATTTGGAGGTGGGGTGTAGACAGCTGTCCTCTGGTGCTGGTGGTAAGCATGGGGAGCCAGGCTCCTGCTGTGCCTTCGAGGGAGCACCTGTAAGGCTGTGAAACCCTGTGCAGTGGGGAGGACCGGCCACAGTGACCCTGACTGCTTACTGCCCTACAGGGAGCCTCTCACCTGTTGGAGGGAGCCCCCCAGGAGACGAGATCCCTGATCCTCTGAAAGCCCAGCTACCCTGAGAGAAGAGTGCACCTGCTCTCCTGCCTTGCAAGGACAGTGGGGGAAAGATGTGCAGCCAGGAGGCCAGACAGGGACCTCCTGAAAGCTTGGGGTCAACACTGGATCTATGGCAGGGCCCACTGGAGATGGGCTAATGAGACCTACTGGCGGATTTTGGGGTGGCCCTGTGAGAGAAGCTGAGGGGTCCTCTGGTGAGTCTGAGTCCTGGCCCCTTCCCCAGCAGGTAGCAGTGAACTCTGGATTCTTGAGTCCTCTTGAGCCTCCCTCCAGGGGGCCCCAGAGGCAGTTAGTGAGGGCACTCCTAGAAAAGAAGGGAATTCCTGCTGGGAACGCAACTGGGGCCTCAAGAACTGGAGGGGTTTGGGTGTTGATGTAAATGTAGACATTTGAATTCCAAATATTATTATGTATTAGAATCTTCACTACCAGTCCTGCTGGGGGTAAAGAGTGCCAGGACTGTGCGAAGCACTCTATATAATAGCACCTGGTGTAGTCATGCTGAGTATAAGTCACAGGTGGGAAGCAGAGGCTCAGGGAAAGCACCCCTTCTGCAGTTCAACCAGCCAGAGCTTCGCGGCCTGCCCTGCCGCTCCCAGCCCTCCAGATCCCTCCACCACATACATTCGTCTCTATATACCTCCTTCATATCGCTTGGATTATACCAGCACCTGCGAGAGACCTGCTTGCATCCCCACCCTCTCCTCTTCTCTTCTTGGCTGTCAGAGTGACCCCAAGCTGGCCCTGCAGCTCACCTTCCTACAGTCCTCCTCTGGGATTCCTCCCCTGGGATTGAACCCACACACCTGCTCTGTCCTGTCTTTCACCTCGACCCAGCCCCTTGTCCTGCCCCTTGCCCTCTCTGTCTCCATGACAGCTCGGGCCAGGTCTGCTCTGTGGAGTGGCCCCTGAGCCCTCTGTGTCTCTTCCCAACACATTTTTTCTGGGACTGTGGTATATAAATTAGGTGTTGGTCTGATCTGGGCTAATTGCTCCCTAACCCTTTGCCAGTCCCTTTGGCCAGGCAGCACAGGACACACTGGCCTCACAGGGATCTTTCCAGCATGGAAATGGGTTATGTGGCTCACCTGGGGAGCTGCAGTGGCTCTCAGCTCCTTTCCTCGCTGCCTTCAGCCCCCTTAGCCTGCCCCAGTCTCCTCTGATACACCAGCCCTCTTGGCCCCACTCCTGGCTCCAAGGCCCCTCCACCAGCCACTGTGGTGGCCTCCTTCCTGGTGGTGCTGACCAGAACGCAGTCCTGAGTTTTCACCTTCATCACATGAATGCCAACATGATGAAAAACAAACTCATTCTTCCTTCACCCTCCTCCAACCCCCATGGTCTAAACAAGGTCTTCCGCTTTCTTCTTAATAGGAAGAATAAGAAGAAATGTCATATTATGGCAATCTTCCAGACTAAGCTTTATAGGCCTCCAGGGGTCTGCCAGCTCCCTCTGCTCTTCTACAATCCCCTGTTGCCTTGTGCCAGTTCGCCCCTCCATCTTTTGCCACTTCTGTTACTGCAGAATAAAGCTTTTAACGTATGTCTGAGAATGTCACTCCCCAGCTTAAAAAATGCTCCTTCCCCATTGCTTGGAGAACAGAGTCACACCACCTCCGCTGAAAACAATGGTGAACACGGCATTATTACTTGCAAAGTTTAAAACAATCAAAAAAAAAATTGCCCCAAACCTTAGATAGTTTTTAATATTGATAGGAAAAAAGAATAAGTTTCCACTAGGAAAGAGAAAAGGCAAATAAGAAAAAACACTAGTCCTCACAGCCCTGCATTTAGGTCTGGTTAGTCCATTATATTCTCCTGGGCTTACTCAGGGAGAATTAATTCCTGGGTCCCCTCTACTTTTGGCACCATTCAAATCCCAACTGATTTTGATTGGAAGAAAGAGAGCTTGCCTTGGAAATATTTGCTTTCTTAAATTTCAAATACAACCCTAGGAAACCTTTCCAGGTCTGTATAGTTAACCCTCTTGTATTTGTTTTTTGTACTCTGAGGGCTGATGCTGTTATAATTTTTACAGTCCCACAAACACCCTTCAAACAAATAACTGTGTCCAGCAACTCAAAATCAGGTGGAGAGTTTTTGGATCCAGGAAATCCCCCAGGAGTCACTCAGGGTTTAGGATTGCATCCCCTTGCTCCTGGGGATCAGTAAGCAGCCCCTGTCTTTCTGCATCTTTAGTCTCTTCTGCATTCCTCTTCACATGCTATAAATATCCCCCAAGTTCCTCCCATTTTAAAACAAAACAAAACCAAAACTCCTCCCCTCACCCTTCTTCCCACCCCCTCATCTTTGTCATTTGCCTGTCCCTCCCTCTCCCTCAGTCTTTGCCTCCTCAGCAAAATTTCTTGTCAGTACCGCCTGCATTTCCTCTGGCCAAACCCACTCAACCAGTTCTCTGCTGCACCCACCTCCAGACAGGCGGCAGGGGTCCTTCTGGAACAGCCCCCTGGTTTCCCTGTTCACAGACTGGGCAGCATTCCATGAATTTACCCCCTGTAATGTATGTTTGTTTTAGATCATTTTAGGCTTTATTAACTTTTAAAAGAGGATTAAAAAGTAAAACAAGTTAAGAATTAACAGCAGGTATCTTGACTCGAGTTGGATTCATCTGTCTAGGAACATATATATATTTTTAACTCCTTAAAAACATTAAGAAAAATGATCCAGAATGACTTCTACCTAGACACATTGGACTAGACCATTGTTTAAGAAGCCACCTTAGAATCGTTTGTCGCTGCAATAGTACCGACTATTTTCTAACAACCAAAGCCTACACCTTGCAAATGCAGAAGTTAACTTAGGGAAGAGTTTTGCAAAGTTAACTTTGCAAATGAGTTTCGGTAAAGATGCACACAAATTCTGCCCCATACAAATACATTCTGGCCAATACGAATGATAACCCTGGAAGGTCCCGTGTCACTGTAGGGCATCCACCAGATTCACATCAAATTTAGCAAGCAGTTTATTTCAGCATTCTTTCTTTGACCGCCTGAGTAGTTTCTGGCATCCGCTTCGGAAAGAGCGTTCTGTCCTCGTTGAGCTCCGTACATCCTTGACACCCAACTCCGTGCTTATGTGGGTTATATTTTGGATGTTCTGATATGGGATTGTGGGGGAAGTCAGCTTTTGATTAGATGTTAGGTGAGGGCTTGGGAGTTTAGTGTTTTTCAAAATTACGTCATCGTAAAGGAGTCTTCAGACAATACTCGCTGGCCCTTCAAACGTGCCAGGCGCGGTTCGGACTGGACCGGGGCCTGGGTCCTCTGGCGAGCCTCATTTCTGGCGTCCTGCCGGATTACGCCGCAGGGGAGCCACAGGCTGAGTCGGCGGGCCCGTCGGGCCCAGTCTTTCTGTTCCCTAGAAGTGACGTGACTGGGTCGGCATTCGGGGTATGGAGCGTAGAACCGGTAAAATGGACCTGAGGACGGTTCGCCAGGGGGCGCCGCGGGCGGAGGCTAAGGAGCTAAGGGCCCAGCGGGCCTCCCAACGCGGCCCTGGGGCGGAACGGGTGGGGGCGGGCCTTCTGCAGCATAGCCAATCATCTTGCCTTACAGGGGCCGCCGGGTCCGGGGCGAGGCCCTCTCGGCTCCGCCCCAAGCCTCTCTGGCTCCGCCCACTATGGCACCACATCTGCGCAGACTGCTCCGCGCCCTCTTCCCGGCTTCCTCCTCCCGGCGCTCCCGTGAGGCATCGCGAGGCGCGCAGGCCATAGCCTAGTGGGCGCCGGCGGCCGCTGAGGTAAGGCGGGCTCGAGGCTTTGGGGCAGTCGCGACCCCGAGACGCGCCTGCGCCCCCCTGACCTTCGTTCGCGCGCACGAGTAGCGGTTCCTGGGCCTAGGAGCCGGGCTGGGGCGGCGGGGCGCGGTGAGGGATCTGGGGACGGCGGGGCGTGGTGAGGGACCTGGGGGTTAACTTGGGGGCTGACCTGGGGACGGCGGAGCGCGGTGAGGGGACTGGGGGCAGTGGGACGGGATGAGGGACCTGGGGACGGACCTGGAACTGACCAGGAGTCAGCGGTGCCGGTGAGGGACTTGGGGACGGTGGGGCGGGGTGAAGGACTTGGGGACAGGGCTGGGGCGGGATGAGGATTGGGAGGGTGAGGTGTGGCGGAGGGTCCAGGGCGCGCCGGGCGGAGAGGGTGGCTCCTGTGGAGTTTGTGGAGCTTCTTTTTAAGGCCCGTTGGGTGATTTTTGTTCATGTGTGTTTTATAACCTACACAAGTGTCATAAATGGATTGCACCAAAAGCAAACAGACAAAAAAGGAGCCCCAGAGATTTGGGGAGCAGAGAGTCAAATGTATTCAGACTTCATGGTCATTAATCCGCAGGTCTTGCCACCTTGCTGACACTCCCCTTGGCTAAGTCGTGGTGGATCATTCAGCGATGCGTCTGTTGGAAACAACAAATGTCTGAAATGTTCTTACTTGACTGCTGGGTACCTTAGTACTTTTCAAGTTGAGAGGGGTTCTAAAACCTGAAGCCTGGTGTTCTCTGAACTAGGTTGATCAGACCTGGAAATTGATTCTTGCCAGCTTGGTGAATGCTTATTCACTCATTGAGGTAAATAGTTGATTCCTCCCCAGAGATTGCCTTTTTTTTCTTTAAATTTTCTTCCATAGAGAGTGCATGGAATAGAGTCTACTTAGCCACATGGTGGCTGGATTTGTTTGTATACACTCATTTTGGATTAAAAAATCACTATATAAAACCATTTTATCTTGGGGGAAAAATAGATTTTATTATTAATTAAGTTTTCATTACTGGTTTCGTTTTCTAAGAAATACCCTAATTGTTTTTGTTTTACTTTATCTTCATCAAACCTTGTAGCTGCTACTACCTTTTGGCTTACTGGCTTCCAGATACCATATGCTGTTTATCTGTATTTTTTAAAAAATCATTTGCCTTATTTGGGGTCTAATATTTATTTTCTTCTCCCCTAGGAAGAATCACAGTAGATTCTAAAAATATTTTCCCCCTTCTGTAAAAATTGGTTTTGTTTCTACTTGGATTTATTTTTTTATAAATAGAGCACCATAAACCCATATCAAATACATAAAACTAGGGTAGTTAAACCATGAGTTCTGGGAATGAGTTTGTGGAGACATTAAAAAAAATTGGTTATCCCAAAGCTGATATTCTTAATGGAGAAGATTTTGACTGGCTATTTGAAAATGCTGAAGATGAATCATTTTTGAAATGGTTTTGTGGGAATGTGAATGAACATAATGTATTGTCTGAAAAAGAATTGGAAGCTTTTAGCATTCTTCAAAAATCAGGCAAACCCATCCTAGAAGGGTCAGCATTGGATGAAGTTCTTAAAACCTGTAAAACTTCTGATTTGAAGACACCTAAACTGGATGACAAAGAGCTAGAGAAATTAGAGGATGAGGTTCAAACTCTTCAGAGATTAAAAAACTTAAAAATGCAGCGACGTAATAAATACCAGTTGATGGCTTCAGTAAGTAGTCACAAATCTCTGAGGTTGAATGCTAAAAAAGAAGAATCCACTAAAAAGCTGAAGCAAAGTCAAGGAATTCTAAGTTCTGTGAATACTAAGCTCAGTAATGAACTTCAGGCCCTTACTGATGGAGTTACTAAATTGATGATGTTCTTTAGACATTCTAATTTAGGTCAAGGAACAAATCCAATGGTGTTTTTATCTCAGTTTTCCTTGGAAAAATATCTAAGCCAAGAAGAGCAAAGCACAGCAGCATTAACCTTGTATACCAAAAAGCAGTTCTTTCAGGGTATACATGAAGTAGTTGAAAGTTCAAATGAAGAAAATTTTCAACTATTAGATATACACACTCCATCTATTTGTGATAATCAAGAAATCCTTGAGGAGAGACGACTAGAGATGGCCAGGCTGCAGCTAGCATATATCTGTGCTCAACATCAGTTGATTAACTTGAAAGCAAGTAATTCGAGCATGAAGTCGAGCATAAAATGGACAGAGGAGAATCTTCATAACCTAACCAGCAAGGTAAACTAACTGGATTCATATCATAAATGTTAGGAATACAGGATTTAATATTACTATTAAAATACTTCAGAAAGGGCATATAAAGAAATTATAATTTTTAATTTTCTCTGTTTAATGCTTATTTGTGATATATGTCAGTGTTTTGCACAATTAGAGCTCATATTAAAGGAGGGAAGAAATAATCATTATAATCCCAACCACATTACCTAGTTTAAAAAAAATGTTTTGCATTGTGAATCTGAAATTTGTTTAATTCAGATATAGATTGAACTCAAATTCCCTTTTTATGATGGGAAATTAATATCTTAATTAATGTCTTAATTCTGGATATTCTCCTGTTTGCTCTGACCAGAGCATGATGGTAAGGAAATCAGAGCTCCAGGTTCTATGGACTGAATTCCTGCTTCCTTGTTGAGAATGTATAGATATATTGTAGCTTTCTATATGTAGTTTTGAGAAGCTTGTTTAGTAATGTAACCACTAGATTGTTGGGTAAAAATGTAACTTTTCTGAATCTGAATACTAACACGGTGAGTTACTATAACTGACAAACTTTGGCATAATAAAGAAATTATTGAGTTCTGTGCTAAAATTAGCTGAGAATACCTACTTGCATTCAGGGAGTAGTGTGGTAATTATGTTTTTGATTAAGTAAAACAAGCATGATGAGATCTTATCTTATTTTGGTAGTCATGAGTGAGAGTGTGTGTGTGTGTGTATACACACGCGCGCATGTGTATGTGTATATATAATAGCATTAAAGTTTAGTAATTCATGTTGGCCTTAGTCCATGTTTTTCCTTTTTAAGCTGTAATTTTGGCTTATACTAATAGGAAATTAGTTTCTATTCATTGAGCTTATTATCACCTCAAATAGAAAGTGAAAATAATCTTTAAAAACTATTTTGTTTAAACCTACAGTTTTAAATGTAATTGCTTTTTTTTTTTTTGGTGTGTGTGTGTAGGCTATTGGCAAAGAAACTTTGGATGCTAAAATTTCTAGCTTGAACAGTGAGATTCTGAAACTTGAAGAACAAATCACTCATATAAAAGATAAAACTTTGCCTGCTGTGGTAAAAGAGAATGCCCAGTTATTGAATATGCCAGTTGTAAAGGGAGATTTTGATCTGCAGATTGCTAAACAAGATTATTACACAGCAAGACAAGAGTTAGTTTTAAACCAGTTGATAAAACAAAAGGCATCATTTGAACTTGTACAGTTATCATATGAACTTGAATTAAGGAAACATTGGGACACGTATCGTCAACTTGAAAACCTGGTTCAAGAACTTACTCAAAGTAACATGATGCTCTACCAGCGATTAGAAATGTTAACAGATCCATCAGTCTTTCAGCAGATAAATCCAAGGAATACCATTGATACCAAGGATTATTCTACTCATAGGTATGTGCATTTGGTTTCTTCCTAAGTAATTTTTTTGTTGTTTTTGGGGAAGTCTTGAGAGAGTTTGAACTAAAGTTATAGAAGTTTAAAAAATTGTTTATACTTTATTTTTGACCTTTGTTCTCTTCTTTTTTTTACAGGCTTCTTTTCCCTGTTTTATTTATTTTTTTCTCCCTTTCCATTCATGTTAGATCTGAATGCAACTAAAAAGTTGAATTGGATGAATTGGAGGAATGAATAAGATACAAGTTTTGACTCCTGTTTAGGCACCATTATAGATACCTCATTTTGGATTTGGGGCAGGAAGTTCAAATATAGCTTGGAATCATAGGTATTGCTAGGCAGGGGACTGACAGCATTTGGAAAAGGTGGCAGTAGAGTTGGGGAAAAGATTTTATTTCTGTGTCTGGTCAGGTGGATCATTGAGAATTTTCTGTATATTTAAGCAGTTGATAGTACTGGGATACTGAAATTGGAGGATTCAGTAGTATTTCAAAACTCTGGATGATTCTACTCTTGAATTTTTTCCAGGACTAAAGTAAAATCATCTAATCTTTTTTTTCTCTTTTAATGCAAGGCCCTGGATTGAACCCAGGGCCTTGCTCATGCTAGGTCAAGTGCTGCCACTGAGCTATATCCCTAGCTGTTTTCTTGTTAATAAAATTAAGGGACATGAGGGCTGGATTGTGGCTCAGTGGTAGAGAGCTTTCCTAGCATGTGTGGGGCACTGGATTCGATTCTCAGCACCACATATAAATAAATAAAATAAAGGTCCATTGACAACAACAACCAAAAAAAGAACATGAATATAACTTAGCACTACTTTATTGTACAATTTTGGGGAGTCATCGATGTCATGATCTACGTGAATAATGCCTCTTAAAATTGTTATATCCCACAGGATCATAATTGGCAGCCTTGGACTTCAGCCAGTTTTTAAAAGTCCAATAGAACTTAAAAACACACACAATTTATTTATTTATTTTTAAAAATGAAACTGGACCCTAACATCAAATTTATTTATTTATTTATTTTGGTGGTGCTGAGGATTGAACCCAGGGCCTTCTGCATGCAAGGCAAGCACTCTACCAACTGAGTTATATCCTCAGCCCCAACATGCATTTATTTTTAAGAGAAAGAGCAGATCCTTTTTGTCAGATATGTGTGGAAGGTATTGCCTCAGATTTTTTAATTTGCCCTATAGAATGATGGATTTTTCTGCTATCAATGTTGTAAGTGTTAAAGTGGTCTCAGTGCTCATCAGATTTTAATTTATCAACCAAATACAAATTGAAGTAGTAAGCTTGTTGTTTGTAGTCCTTTATTTTTTGCATTTTAACATTATTTACATTTTTAGTTTTTTTCTCTTAATCCCATTGCAATCCTGAAAAATAGGTATTGAGATACAGAAGTTAAATCTCAGAGATTGATTTGCTCTGAGTCTCATATAATAAAGAACTCAGACCTAGGTCTTCTGTTTCAAAATTCACTGCTGATGCTACTGCATCATAGATGTTTTCTGTGAAAGAAATGTATCACTAAAGCATAGTTTGTTTGAAGTGGGTTAATAGTATTTAAAGTTCAGACAAATTTTATCTTTAAAACTTGGAAGATGGAAAAACAGACTTCAGATGCAATAGTTAGAATATAAGCTTCTGTACTGGAATGGTATAAGAGTTGAATGATTTTAGTTGCTTGATTTTTAGCTCACAAGTTAATATTATTTAGTTTTTACTCAGCTATTCTGCAAATGTCCTAATGTAATGAATTATAATTTTGAGAACTATGCTAACTTAAGAATCTTCTCCTGTAATTTTCATTTTTACATTTTAGGCTTTATCAACTTTTAGAGGGAGAAAATAAAAAAAGAGAATTGTTTGTAACCCATGGAAACCTGGAGGAAGCAGCTGAGAAATTGAAACAGGATGTTTCTCTAGTACAAGATCAGTTGGCAATAACTGCTCAAGAACATTTTTTATTTCTGTCCAAACTGAATAATAATGTTGACGTGCTTTGTGATGTTTTGTATCAAGGAGGAAATCAGCTTTTACTTAGTGATCAGGTGGGTATTTGCCTTAATGTGTTGGTAATACACACCTGTAAACCCAGATACTTGGGAGGCTGAGGCAGGAGGATGGCCAATTCAGGGGCAGCCTAGGTAACTTAGTAAGATGCTGTCTCAGTAAAAATATAAGGCTGGAAATGAAGGTCAGTGGTAGAGCACCCCAGGGGGAAAGCATTATAAGAGATAGTAAATAAAATATTATAAGGATATATCACCCCTATCCCATTGCCCTAATATAAAATTCATTTTTTTATCTCTCTGGATTTTTATTCATGTAGCTTTTTTGTATGTGTGTGGGTTGGGGGCGGGTAACTGGGAATTGAAGCCAGGGGCATTTTACCACTGATCTTCATCTCCAGTCCTGTTTTTATTCACTGAGTTGCTGAAGCTGGCCTCAAACTTGTGATCTTCTTGCCTCAGCCTCCTGTGCCACTGGGATTACAGGCATATACCACCACACCTGGCTCAAATAGTTTTAATTACTATGCACAGAATATAAAAATTTATAGATTTTTTTCAGACACTACAAATGTTAAATGTTAGAAAAAAATTAAAATCAAGATCTATATTTTTAAATTTACATTAGCAAATCGAGGATTGCCCACTATCTTTTAAGTCCTCTGTGTACACTTACAGATATATGTTCTTCTGATTGAATTGCCCTCTCTTTTTTGAGGAGTAACTACTGCACTTAATATTTTTTTTTTTTTATGATTCCCATGCTTCTGTTTATAGTTTTATTACATGTATATTTTCCTAGCTGTATATTCAGATTTATATGTTTTGGGACTTTATATGCCTGGTACATATGTATTTAACAACTTGGCGTTGTTTCTTTTTTTTAGAAAGAGAGAGAGAGAATTTTAATATTTATTTTTTAGTTTTCGGCAGACACAACATCTTTGTTTGTATGTGGTGCTGAGGATGGAACCCGGCCGCACGCATGCCAGGCGAGCGCTCTACCGCTTGAGCCACATCCCCAGCCCCTTGGCGTTTCTTAACATTGTTTTTGAGATTCATCTATATAAATATATATAAAGCTATTTTCCTTTTTATCTAATTAATATTATTTTATATGAAATTCCACAGTTATCTGTTATGTTGATGTTTAGCTTATTTCCAGTTTCTGCTACTTTAAATTACACTGCTGTGAATAGTCCTAAACTGCATGTTTCATAGTTGTACTTTTAAAAGAGCCTCTGGTATACACATGCATACACACTAATATAAGTGGAATTACTGGATTACAGGATATGCACATGTTCAGTTTAATAAGTACAAAGTTGAGTGTTCCTTATCTGAAATTCTTGAGTCCAGACATATTTCAGATTTCAGGTTTTTGGTTTTTTTTAAACTCATTTTTATTTTTTATTTTTTTTTAAATATTTATTTTTTAGTTGGACACAATACCCTTATTTCACTTATTTATTTTTATGTGGTGCTGAGGATTGAACCCCAGGGTCCCGCATGTGCAAGGTGAGCGCTTTACCGCTGAACTACAACCCCAGCCCGATTTCAGAGTTTTTTGGATGTTGGAATATTTACATATAATTTACTAGTTGAGTATCTCTATTCTGAAAATCTAAACAAAAACTTTTTGAGCCCTGACATGGCACTTAAAATGTTTCACTTTTGGGATTTTTTAGATTAGGAGTGTTTATCCTGTAAATCAAATTGTTTTCTAAAGTGGTTATATCATATCGCACCAGCAGTATCTCAAGAGGTACTATTTACTTGTATCCTTTTCATCACATAGTGTTGACTTAAAAATTTCTGCCAGTCCCATGGGGAAAAACAATGTTCATTTTGGGTTGTAATTTGTATTTCTCCAATTATTAGCCTCCCTTCACTTCTTTAGTGATCATTCACCTTTTTTGACAATTGCTTATTCATGTCTTTTGCCCATTTTTTAAGTCCTTAAATCATTTGTAGGAGTTCTTTGTATGTTTCAGTGTCTTTGTTAATCATGTGTGAAATATATTTGTGACTTGTCTTTTTCACTCTTCTTCTGTTTTTTCCTCTTTGAGGCTTTTTTTTTTTTTTTTGTACTGGGGATTGAACCGAGGGATGCCACAGAGCTACATCCCCAGACCCTTTTATTTATATTTTTTTTGAGACAAGGTTTTGCTAAGTTGTTGAGGCTGGTCTCAAACTTGTGATTCTCCTGCCTTAACCTCCTGAGTTGCTGGGATTAAGGATTTTAATTTTTATCTCATTATTCTTTTTGGTGTGCCTTTTCTAATATCTTTGTTCTCTCTCTCTCTCTCTTTTGTCAAAGAACCTTTATTTTATTTATTTATATGTGATGCTGAGAATTGAACCCAGTGCCTCAACATGCTAAGCACGTGCTCTAGCGCAGAGCCACAACCCCAGCCCTGTTCTGTGTGTTTTGTTAAAGTTTGTTCTTAATATTATAATTGTAGTCCCTTTAAGTTTGTTTTTATATACCAATGAGGTAGAATTCTCATTTTGTTTTTATTTACTTTTTTCTCCTATGAATAACCAAATTGTTCCATCATCTTACATTAAGACATTTTATTTATTTAAATGCCATATCAGTTTCAAGGATGAAATTTTTATTTATTTATTTTTTTAGTTGTGGATAGACCTTTATTTTATTTATTTGTATGTGGTGCTGAGAATCGAACCCAGTGCCTCATACATTCCAGGCAAGTGTGCTCCACTGAGCCATAGCCCCAGCCCGAAATTTTTATTATTAATGAAACTGAATATTTTTATTATCTCCCAGTGAATAGAGCCTTTTATTATGAAATACTCCTTAAATGCTTTTGCCTTCATGTCTATTTTGTTTGATACTGTATGCACTAACAGTTCTGAACTGAAAATTTATAGCAAACCTAGAGTCATTGGAGGAGCTAGGTGATTCCTGTTGAACTATAATTCTAAGCAAGAGTTTTACTTCTGGGCCAATCTAATCTTTAGGTGTCCTTTGGGTCCTCAGCTTATTATAGAGAGTCTTCTGTTTGACTCTCTACCTTCTGGGGACCGTGGACTTTTTATTGCTTTTAGGAAGCTTTTGTTTAGTTTGATTTAAAAAAAAATTCATTCATTTTTTTAAATATTTATTCTTAAGCTTTAGGTGGACACAATATCTTTATTTTACATTTATATGGAGGTGAGGATTGAACCCGGTGCCTTGTGCATGCTAGGCGAGCACTCTACCACTGAGTCACAACCCCAGCCCCTCATTCATCTTTTTTTTAAAATATTTTTTTAGTTCTAGTTGGACACAATACCTTTATGTTATTTATTTATTTTTATGTGGTGCTGAGGATTGAACCCAGCACCTTTTATGTGCTAGGCAAGCGCTCTACTACTGAGCCACAACCCCAGCCCCTCATTGATCTTTTTATTTTATTTTTTTGGCTATTCTGGGAATCAAACAACAGGACCTTGTTAATGCTAGGTAAGCTCTCTGCCACCAAGGAATACCCCCAGCCCTGAGCTTTTTATATTGTTTCCTGTGAGAGGATTGATCTGAAAAGCTAGCCTACCTTTCCTTTGAAACAGAAAGGCCTATGATTAGGGTTTTTGAGGTTTTTTTTTTTTTAAATTTATTTTTAATTAATTAATTAATTGATTTTTTACATTTGAATCAGATGGGATATAATTTCTCATTTTTCTGAGTGTACAGGTTGAAGAATTACATTGGTCATGCAGTCACATATATACCCACAGCAATAATAATTTTTTTTTAATTGTGATAAAACATATAAAACAAAAAATTTGCAGTTTTTTAAAAAATATTTTTAGTTGTAGATAAACACAATACCTTTATTTTATTTACTTATTTTTATGTGGTGCTAAGGATCGAACCCAGGGCCTCACACATGCTAGTCAAGTGCTCTACTGCTGAGCTACAACCTCAGCCCACATTTGCAGTTTTAACCATATTTAAGTGAACAGTTCAGTGGCATTAAGTACATTCACATGGTTATGCAGTCATGAGTACTGTATATTTCTAGAAATTTTTCATCATCCCTCTCAGAAACTACAAATTGGTCAGTAGCTCCCCATTTCTTCTCTGCTCAACTCCTAACAATCACTATTCTACTTTTTGTCTCCAGGAGTTTGCGTATTCTAGATTCCTCATATAAGTGAAATCATATATTTTATCTTTTTGTGATTGACTTATTTCATTAACATAATGTTTTCAAGGTTCATCCATGTTGTAGCATGTGTTAGAATTTCCTTTTTAAGACTGAATAATTCATTGTGTGTGTGTGTGCACATACATTGCTTTATTTATTCATCTGTTCATGGCATTTGTGTTACCACCTTTTTCAATGTTGTGAAAAATGTGGCCTTACATGTTGGTGTACTGGTATCTGTTTTGAGTTCCTGTTTTCATTTCTTTGGGATATATACCTAGGAGTATATACTGCTGGATTATGGTAATTCTAATATTTAATTTTTTGAGGAATTGCCTGTTTGCCACAGCAACTGTACTATTGTCCATGTACATGTAATGCATAAAGTTTCTTAATTTCTCCATATTTTCTGCCTTCATGTCTGTTGTTTGATACTATATGCACTAACAGTTCTGAACTGTTTTTTTTTTTTAATAGCAGCTACTGTAATGGGTGTGAAGTGCTGTCTGATTGGTTTTTTAAGACTATTTCCCATTACTGATTTTGTCTTGTTGCTCTGTTAGAGAAATGTGTAAAAATTGCCATTATTATGATAGATTTGACATTTTCTCTTGGTAGGTACATCAATTTTTATTTATTTTGAGTCAATTTTTATAAGTTATGTCCAAGGTTTTAAATTTTGGTGAATAATTACCCTAGTGGATTTAAGTTTTGGTAAATCAAAGCATTACATAATAACATTCTGTTCTAGTTCTTTTTTCTGATACTAATATTCTGTGCCATCCTTCTTTGAAAGTTTATGGTTCTCTTTTATAGATTTTATTATTCTCTTTTTCTTAGCATTTTGAAATAAACATTTTCACTTTCTAAATATCAGTTTCTAATATTACAATACTTTATTTTAATTACTGTGCCACAATTTCAGAAACCATTCCCCATTTTGGATATTTTTGGATATTTTGATAGTTGTTTTTTTGTTGTTGTTGTTTTTTGTTTTGGGTTTGTTCTTCATCAGCATCATCTACATATCTACATCCTTTGTGTATTTAGCTTTTTGTTGTTGGATATTTTCCACTTGGATTAATTCTTGGAAGTGTGGTCATTGGAGTTTTTGAGATATACACATTTTCTTTTTTTTCTTTGATGATGCTACCATATTTCTTTTCTTGGGGAATAGCACTTATTTCTAATGTCAGCAGTATCCCTATTTAGTATCCCTAGGCACCATTGCCCAATGGTATACTATCATTTTATGAATTGCTAAGAAAAAAACTTCCAGTTAAACTGACATGATGCTTTGTTTTTGAAAAATTTCATTTTTTCATATTTACTAGCATCTTTTAGGTGTTGTGGACATAGCTTTACTTATTTTTGTATTATTTCACTGTTAAATATGCATTAAAAGGAAAAAATAAGCCAATTAAAATGATTATAGAGTACTTCTAAAACTTCACATTCAACTTCTTCTAAATTGTTTTTAATTCAAAGTGGCATGTATTTTTTTCACACTATATATCAAGAATGTTGGTGTGAAAGCATTCTTGAAAGGATTTGTCCAGAAACAGTCATATGATGTTCTTGATTATAAGAAGTGTCTTGATTTTAGATGTGTTGAGACACAAAAAAATGCATCCTAGAATCCCTAAAATTGGATAGTTTTATTATAATTTATCATGATGTATTATTAATGTTTTTCCCTAGCTCAATATGATATAAAATGTCATATAACAGTTTTTTCAGTTAGAGTTTTATTGTTAAAATGAAGCTGAACATTTTTTCATATCTGTAGGAGTATTTTATCAACTGTAAGATCTTTAGTATTTAATTAAAGGTGAGATTGTTTCTCAGTATACTACATTAATCACATTTTTCCTCAGAGGCGACTACTAGATGTAGAACAAACATGGCAAAATTTTTAGGAAATGTAGTACTGCTCTGGTTGGGGCTGGGGCTGGGGCTCAGTGGTAGCACACTTGCCTGGCATGTGTGAGGCACTGGGTTTGATTCTCAGCACCACATATAAAGAAAGAAAATAAAGGTCTATCAACAACTAAAAAAAAAGAAGTAGTACTGCTCTGTAAAACTTGTACTTTGGAATCATCATGGAACCTAACAAAATGTGTACTCCTGGCCCTATTGCAGAGATCGAGTAATATTCTGAAGTGAGGTATAGGAATTCATATATTCATAATAAGCACCCTGGTGATTTTGATGCTTGTGGACCATGCTGAGAAACTGTGGAATGTTGAGGTAGTTGGAAAACCTCTGGTGATACTGGCTAAAATTTATAAGAATAGAATGTTTGGTTAGAAAGCTATGAAAATTTGTTAGTAGAATGTTTGAAGTGCTAAGACATGAAGAAATTGAATTTATTAAATAGTGAGAAGAGTCCGTATTAATCTTCTTGAGCAGGAAAAATAAGTCAGGATGGTTTTTGTTGAATGTTGTATGCAATTTTGTCCTGTAAGACAATGAAAGAAAAATGGAGATGTTTATTAATTCTTTTTTATTGGTCTTCATTTCAAGTCTTTCTCTGTACCTGTGTGTAGAGTAACCAGAGATTAGGATAAAATAGAGTTTGATTGATTAAGCAGAATTTAAACTCGGTGAGAAAGATTTTGTTTATTCTTGTATCCATAGTCTCTGAAACAGTGCTTTTCACATGGCAGGTATTCATTAATATCTTTGAATATAGGAATACACAGAACAGTTTATATATCAAGTTTACACATAAAAGAGTTTGCTTTGAATCACTTAAAATTATCAGTAGTTGCAATAAATTTTATGTGGAATCCATAAACCTAGTATAGATTTTTAATCATGGCTTATATTGCTGAAATTATGGGAAGTTATTTTAAAAAGTTATCATTTTGTCTTATAAATTATAATTTGTGTTAGGAGTAAAGTTGCTGAATTAATAGCATTTTTATTTTCCTTTTTTAGGAATTAACAGAACAGTTTCATCAAGTTGAATCCCAACTGAATAAGCTAAATCATCTCCTTACTGATATTCTTGCTGATGTGAAGACAAAAAGAAAAATTTTGGCAACTAATAAATTGCATCAAATGGAAAGAGAATTATATGTATATTTTTTAAAAGATGGAGACTACCTGAAAGATGTTGTGGAGAATCTAGAAAACCAATCAAAGATTAAGGATGTTAGTTTTAAAAATTGAAAATTACTAAAAACTGAATCTTTACATCTGTTTTAATGTTTTTTGTAATAGGAGACTATATCTAATAAACATGATGATGTTTTGAAATTTGAGATCAATGGACTATTTCATTTAATGGATCCAAGTGTTATAGAGGTTGAACATCCCTAATTGGAAAATTCAAAATCTGATTTCAGTGTGCAGGCATGACACTATAAGTGGAAAATTTCCCATTTGACCTCATGTTACACAACACAAGTGCACTAATTGTGTAAAATTATATGCATATAAACTATATATGAAAAAAGCAAATTTCATGTTTAGACTTGATTTCCTTCCCTAAGATATCTCATCATACATATGCAAATATTCTAAAATCTGAAGTACTCTTGGTCCCAGGCAGTTCAGATAAGAGTTATTCAACCTTATTAATTTTTTTTTTATAATTGTTCGAAGTACCAGTACTTTATTTGCTAGATGACACTTAATACTGGTAAATGTTTACTTATAGTAATGCAAATATTTTTTAATAGTTTTTCTTTTACTATTTTTTTTAAATAGAAGGTGTTAAGTATTTTTAAAAATGTATAGAACTTTGAACTGACATTTTTAAATCTATAGACCTTAACACACCAATGCTTCCTTTTTGAGTTTTGCTTTCCAAGGTTTTATTTACTGGAGGTCAACTGTGATAAAAAGACATTAAATGGAAATAGTAAGTTGTTAAAATATTTTTATTTGCTCTTTTTAGATATACATGTTAGTAGAGTATTTTTTAACATACATATGTGGAGTATAACTTATTAGGTTCCCATTCCTGTAGTTGTACGTGATGAGTTTCACTGCTCATGTGAAATATGAACATAGGAAAGTTCTGTCTGATTCATTCTACTGACTTACCTATTCCCATCCCCCCACCCTTCCCTTCCTTCCCCATTGTCTACTCCAATGTACTATTTCCCCCAACGCCCATTATGTGTCAGCATCCACATATCAAAACATTTTGAGATTGATTTAGGAAATAGTTTTAAGTTGCTTCCCAGTCTGTAGTGTGATGGAATCTCAAACCATCCCACTTTGTTCTTGAATCATTCCTTTTCTCAGCATATCTGTGTTGTATATGCTACCTGCCTGTTAGTAAGTTGATAACCTTGTCATTTATCAGATGTATAGAGTTAATACTGTTTCATTAATGCACTGGGGTTTGGAATATATCACCCATGAGTAAGAAAGGACTACTATAAATGAAATAGCTAAATCCCCTTATAGTTGACTGAAGTAAAATTCTGCCACTTAAACTCTATTTTCTCCTAATTCCTATTGTAGACTGAGATTGAACATTCCTACTTATACCAAGAGTGTCAGGACCCCACTGGCCATTTTCACTTCAGGCAGTGTGTTCTGGGGGGCCAACATTTCTGCAAGACAAGATCTCAATAATGCTTTGACTTTAGTATGACTTACTAACATGTCATAAATAGCTTTCAAATGAAATTTAAAATTAAAATTTCAGAATTATATAAAAGTGTTTGCTAAAAGGGTTTAGGATGAACATTTGAATTTCTTAGGAGTGAAAATACTTCAGTGATGGAATATATTTAATATGGGATATTAGTGTAGTATTTGGACAATTAGAAATTATTTTAAAATTAGTATAAAATAATTTTGAGTAGTTTATCCCTTGAGAGCCCAGTTTATACATTGTCTTTGTTAAATATGTTATGAACTTTGTATGGATTACCTTTAAGAATATTCTAAACCTACCTACTTGTTATATGGAATGACAATTAAAAATTATTCATATCAGGTGGGTTTTTAAAAAAATTTTCAGGAGGTAGTTTTTAATAAATGTTTTTAGCTTTATCAGGAAATAATTATGCTTCAGAGCCAGTAAGCCCCGTTAATTTTTGTAATCCATTGAACAAAAAGGTTTATATTAAATATTGTATCTGTTATATTAAAAATTATTTTTGTTAAGTAAACTAATTCACTTGAAAATTTTTTGGCAATGAATTTTGTGTATATTTAGCTATCAGCTTCTCACTTAGGTGATTTCTTTGCTTTTTATTTTTTACTATTCTGTTTTTCCTATACTGTTAAACAGTACTGTTTAAATTAGTGCCAGATAATTTAGATGTGTGACCAGATGCTTGATCTGTATTGTTCCTACTTAAACTTTTACCTGTTTTCAGCTTTGTATAGTTGAAGGTGAGTAATAGGCATGTTTGAGTAGGTTTTTTGCTTCATAATTGGTTAACTTCATAATTAGCTCTTTTTCTGCTTTCTGTTATCCCCTAATTAAACCTCTAGTTATTGTTTTCTTTTTACTATGTGTATTATGAAACCTGTATTCTGTGGTTATTGATGTACTTTTAAAATGAAAGTCTCAGTTTATACATTTTTCAAGTAACTGGTCTTTATTATTATGAAGTCTCAGAATTAACATGTCGATATTTATCTTGTTAACCTTACATTTAGGTCTTTTTGAAAATGGAAAATTGTGAGACCTGTGTAGGCTTTGATCTCTCTAAGATACCACTGTCCTCTATTGCTCAGAAGATTATGTGTGCTCTGCATTCAGGTGATTTAGTGGATTCTAAGAACTGGGGAGAGAGTACAAAGAGTGAGTAATTTTTTTACGAGCCTTTCTATCTTTATTATGTTGAATGCTAATTATTCTCAAGAGTAGAAGAACTGAAAGTGGTGGAATGAATGTAGCAAAATTATCCCCTGGAACTTTATATTTTGTAGGGAAGTTCTATGCCTACAAAAAAATTCACCCTTTTTATTCCCATTCAATGTTGAAATTCTGCTTGCTGAATTTTACAGTCCCTTAACCCTTGTTTAAATGTTTAACACTGTATTCCTTGTTCCAGGGATTTCTGTCAAAAAAGTTCCTTCAGTCTGGATCAGGTATTTAAGTGCCTTCAAAAAAGATTGGCTTTGGGCTGGGGTTGTGGCTCAGTGGCAGAGCGCTCACCTAACATGCATGGGGCACTGGGTTCCATCCTTAGCACCACATAAAAATAAAAAATTAAGATATTGTGCCCACCTAAAACTAAAAAATAAATATATAAAAATTAAAAGAGAGAGACTGACTTTTTCTGGTGATGTAGCTTAGTGTTTGAGCACTAGCCTAGTGGGCGCAAAGCCCTTCCTTGACTCAATCCCCAGTACTGGGGGTGGGTGGTGGGGTGGGTGGGTGGAGCTGGGCTCTTTCTCAGTGCCTCTTGGTTGGCTGTCAGGTCACTGAACCTGTACAGTTTTTGCTATTGTGGGTGGTACATAAGAGCAGTGTATTTTACTTCCATGAAAATGTATTAACTCTAGGTGACAAAGACCAGTGGGTTTATATATATGTTTGTGATGTGTACTATAATCATAAAAACAGTGACGTATGCTCACAAGTATGGCTAAACTGTTTGTGACATCAGAGTTCATTTGCAAAGCAGACTTCATTCTAACTTTGCAGGTCTGGGCTAATGATTTGTAGTTTCTTTCTTTTCCTATTGTGTATTGTAAGTGAGATATTATTAAGTTATTAGATTGAAATAAAATAATTGAGAGGATTTCCAAATATCAGCACAAGTGCTGTTATAAACAATTTCTTGAAGATTCATTAGCACTTAACATTCCGATCTGTTCACATTCTAACATCTGTTGCTTGTGTGCCTTACAATAGAAATCACTAATAAATAAACAAGTGAGAATGTTTGACCAATGTATCCAAATAAAAGGGATATTAAAGATAATTATTTAAACTGTGAATACTGTTTTATCTTATTCCCCTTTACTTCCCCTAAAATACTATTATTTTCCAGGTACATAGTCCATACCCAGAAATTCTTATAAGCTTATTTATTTTTCCACATATTTTAAAAAATAATAGGTTATCGGATACAGTAGTGTATGTATGTGATTCCAGCTACTCTGGAGGCTGAGGCAAGAAAATTGCAGGTTCCAGACAAGCCTGGGCAACTTAGACCCTGTCTTAAAATAAAAAATAGAAAGAACTAAGAATGTAGCTCAGTGATAGACCCCTCTAGGTTCAATGCCAGGTACTGTGGGGAAAAATCAGAAACTGCTGGGCTGGGGATGTGGCTCAAGTGGTAGGGCGTGTGGCCCGGGTTTGATTCTCAGCACCACATACAAACAAAGATGTTGTGTCCGCCAAAAACTGAAAAATAAATATTAAAAAAAATTCTCTCTCTCTCTCTCGTTCTCACTCTCTCTTTAAAAGAAAAAAAGAAACTGTTGTATATTTGGCAGAAGTGGAAATTCCCTTCTCTTCAAGAACTGATAAGAATAATGAAATGCCTCTGATAGCATAATCAAAAAATTGATTGTAGTCAGCCTTGAAGGTTATTGAGAAGGTAATGAAAAAAGATATTGTTTTTCTGCCAGGTATCTTTTTTTTTTTTTTTTTTTTGGTACTAGGGATTGAACCCAGGGGCACGCGACCACCGAGCCACATCTCTAACTCTATTTTGTATTTAATTCAGAGACAGGGTCTCGTTGAGTTTCTTACTGCCTTGCTTTTGCTGAGGCTGGCTTTGAACTCACCATCCTCCTGCCTCAGCCTCCTGAGCCACTGGGATCTGCCAGGTATTCTTGGATCTGGAAAAACAGTGGAGTTTTCATAAGGATTTTGTATTATGTAATATTTTGTATTGGGCTGGGGATGTGGCTCAAGCAGTAGCGCGCTCGCCTGGCATGCGTACTGCCCAGGTTCGATCCTCAGCACCACATACAAACAAAGATGTTGTGTCCGCTGAAAACTAAAAAATATATATATATATATATTAAAAAAATATTTTGTATTATTGCTAAGTTACTAAAAACTTACTAGCTAAAACATATTTGTTGTTGGACAGTTTCTGTGGGTCAGGAGCCCAGGCATGGCTTAGCTGGGTCTACTGCAGGGCTGCATTGTAGGTATCAGCCAGGGATGGGGGTCTCATCTGAGACTTGGGTGAGAAAACATTCTCTCCTAAGCCACATGATTATTGGCACAATTAATTTCCTTGTAGGCTTTCAAGTTCGAAGATTGGGGTTTCTCCCAGGTTCTTGGCTGGAAGCTGCCCTCAGGTCCTTTTCATGTGGTCTTCTCCACAGGCAGCATACAATAGGCGGCTTGCTGTTTTCAGAACCAGCAGGAAAGTCTCCCTAGCAAGACTGACATTACAGTTTTCTGTAACATGACCACGTAAATCATGTCACCTTGCTATGTCCTTTGTTAAAAAACTAGTTAATAAGTCCCATTCATACTCAAGGGCTGGGACTTACACAAGGACAAGAACACTAAGAGGCAGGGGTTGTGAAGCCACCTTAGGTCTTTCTATCCCACATCCCCACCTGTTTTCTTCTTAGAAGAATCTGAATTAAAGTTGGATTGCTGGTGGATTATTGGTGAGTGATGCTGGACCTAGATTTCATTGATTTCTGGATTCCTGTCACATGTTGAGCTGTTATATTCTATTTCTTATAAGATACATATTATAAATCAATATTTTATTTCCATGAGTCCATTTCATACCACATAAATATCAAAATTGAACTCAGAAATTAATGAAAGTAAACTACAAATTTTACTATTATAAATACTTTTTAAATAAAAACCAAACAGCATTAAGCCTGTGGTACATGTCACTTTGAAGTCTAATTTTCTAATCTGTTTGACTGACTGAGGTGTCTCAAGACCCACACTGGACTATTATATCGTCTTGAAGCAAGCATAGATTGTTTAAGATTTTCACCATAAAAAAATATTAGACACACAGAAACTTAAAGTACAGCTTAATGAATTAATAAGAACATCCGAGTAACTACTACTTATATTGCCAAAACCTCAGAATCTATTAAAACCCTATTCTTGCTAAAAGGTAATCATTATCCTGACTTTTATGGCAACCACTTCCTAATCTCGGGCATTTTATATTGTCCCAAAGATCATTTTGGCAGAGATTACTTATCCTCTGCATTGGAATTCTGTTCTTCCTTTCTGAGGCGCACAGCTGCCCCTCCATAGCATTCTGGTTGCTGCTAAGTGTAACCAAGTGACTAGGGGCTTGGCAGCAGGGTATGAGCGTGGGAGCTCAAGTAGTGTGTGCCATTTCCAGGATTGACCTAAAGATAATACAGTCCTAGAGAATTATGGAATTATGTAGTGATATCACCAGTTATTGGTGACACATTCTGCTCCCTCACACGGTGAAGATAACATTAGAGAAGGATGCCAAGGCAAGCATATAAAGCAGGGTTTATTAATGTATATTTTTTAGTTGTACATGGACACGATACCTTTATTTTATTTATTTGTTTATTTATTTTTTATGTGGTGCCAGTGATCAAACTCCGCCTCACGCATGCTAGGCAAGTGCTCTACAACTGAGCCACAACCCCAGCCCCAAGCAGGGTTTATTTAAAAAGGGGTAAATAGACTTCTCCCATGAGGGAGAAGGGGGCCATAGCTGGTATCCTGGTATCCCAAGAAGTGAGAGTGTTCTGCCTTCTTTTATATGTCTTAGGCTTCCTTTGTTCTCCTGTTCTCTTCCCCTTATTTCTCTCCTTCCTGCCTACTAGGCCCGGAAATGCTCAGAAGGATGGCCAAAAGGTGAGAAGCAGATGGGGGATGGTGTTGGGTGGGGGGAGTCCAAATGGCGCAGCCCAGGACACATTAATTAACAACTTTTATAACTCTCTATAGGGAGGGACAATTCCTGGGACAGGTTACCTTAGCAGTCGGTTGGAGCAGGGGCAGGTTATCTTTATAAGGGTGGAGGAATGGCTCTGAAGGCATTTTAGTCCTTCAGGGGGAGGTTTCCAACTTCCTGGACTCACTCAAATTGGACTCCTTGATCTGATCTGACCTGATTTACGTATCTATACTTGACTGCCTCTTTTAATTCTGGCTTCAGAAGGACTCAGGCCTCTATTTCATGAAATAGCTACACTAATAACTGAGAACTTTCACCTCAGAATGTGAAAGAGAGAGAGAGACAGTTTTATTCTTTAAACCACTGAATTGTTGGATCCTGTGTGATTGTAACTTAGCCTTTTATCTTAATTCATATACTTTTGCCTATATTCAGAATTGGGTTTATGCAAACATTACAAATTAATAAAAAATTCAAGACCCATAAGTATTTTTTAAAAATTGTTTTAGTTGTTGATTGACCTTTATTTATTTACTTATAGTGGTGCTGAGAATCGAACCTGGGGCCTCACAAATGTTGGCAAGCACTCTACCAACTGAGCCAAAACTTTAGCTCAGTATTTGTTAAATCCAATTCATTAAACAAAACTTATCTTTAGTCCTACCACCCAGTGGAAATATTTTGCAATTTCAGGGATGGAAATGAAACTCAAAGATCTATTGTGATTATTATATTCATTCTAATTCGGAATATATGGATGAACATTTTGTATTATTTTTGCATCTGTCAAATGATTATAAAATTCTCACATCCAGGGCTGGGTTGTGGCTCAGCAATAGAGCGTTTGCCTGCATGTGCGAGGCCCTGGGTTCGATCCTCAGCACCACATACACATAAATAAATAAACAATAAAACAAATAAATAAATAAAGGTATTGTGTTCGACTACAATTAAAAAATAAAATATT